GGGGGGGGGTGGTTTTTGATTTTTCTGAAATGTCGCGAACAGGTGTTTTTTAACCGGAACGCGAGGCCCCTCATCCGGACATTCCTTCTTTCCAGGTGCGCGTGACGGGGTTGAATCCGTCGGAAAGTATAGCGGATGCCCGGAATCGAACCGGGGACCTTCGGGTTACAAGACAGACGCTCTAACCACTGAGCTATTTGCAACACCTGGGGGTTGTAGCTCATATGGTAGAGCGCCCGCTTCGCATGCGGGAGGTACAGGGATCGATACCCTGCTGCTCCAGACTTTTAGTGAAAATCTCAATGTTATATCTTTTTTTAACTTGACAGTTGACGTTTGTGCCATAATGATCACCGATGTCCTGGAGTTTGCCTTTTTCAAGCAAACGCTGTGGCATTTGTTTACGGCGAAGTGGTTGAGGCTGCATCGTCGCATGCTAAAGTAGAAGGTCCATCACGCTCCGCAGGTTAGCACGATCAGCGACGTTGCGAATTTTGTTTGCAGGACTGAAGCTCCCACGCTTTGAGCTGACCTTGTCGATATCTTGGCTGAACATCTTTGAGAGAGTATAATCGTACGTTCGCTCTGCAGTCGCTCTTGCATGCATACGTTGAATAGTAATTGAGCTTCCAACAACATTGGCTTTGCTTACAATGGCGCAACTACATGAACATTTTCTGACATGGTGGCGTCGGTATTGCCCGAGAGGATGTGCATGCACGTACGTTTCTGATGGTCATTCATCACTCTAGTTTGCCTAAGGTGGACTGGTTCATCTGTAGTTGACGCACATTGCTGCCACCTGACACGACTTTCGCAGCGGTGTGCACGTGCAGCACAAGTTTGAACACCTCGTCCATGGCAACACAGACAACGTGTACACGTACCGTGCTTCAGTTGCATGCATGGCCCATTCCTCTCCCGGCTCTTCACGAGAATCACACAGGAACAAGTCCACTTCCTCGTTGCGGATGCTGGATCACGCAGGAACGCGTTCGCTTCGTTCGTCGGGATGCGGGCGACTGTGGAATCTGCGGCTTCGGATGTTGAAGGGCCTTGATTCCACCAATCAGCGACAAGAGTAATTTTGATTGGTGAAATATAAATTCTTGTCAACCACGCCGCCACCTCATCAGAAGGAGACTTCCCTCGTGTTCGAAACACGTTCGGATCGAACACAGAGTCGGCACGGTTTTGTGTTGCCTGCCATCCATGGATACCACGTCCATTCCCCACACGATATCGATTGTCCGTACAGACTGTTTGTTCCGATATATATATATAAAAAAGCCACTTGACATGTGTCTCTCTCGTCTCGGCAGGGGACTCTTGGACGCCGGTGCGTTTCGACGACGACGAGCGCGCGTCGCTTAACCGTTACATGTTGACGCTAGAGAATTTGGCGGTGTTTTAAACGCGTCCGAAACGTTTCGTTTTGTGTGGTGCTTATCCGCTGATGGCGCTATTTTAATTGTACCTGTGATATTTTGCAACCAAATATCTTTGGATTTGTAAACAATGCGAATATAAATTTTCCCCATCTTCCTCGACAGTTGTGGATGTGGCGCAGTGTCAAATTTGCTGCGTCGGTCTCACGCCACCATGATGATGTTGTCTCGCTCTGCGCCCCGGCTGCAAGCCATCTCGCGCGCGTCCACGGTATTGCACAAAGTACCTGAGTAAGGTGTCTGATGCATGGTTGTAGCGCGCGGCGTCCACGACCCCGTTGTCCGTGCTCGACCCCAAAGGCAGCGCCACGATTGAAGAAACGTACGCCAAGATGGAACACAATCTCGGCGTGATTCGCAAGACGTTGAACCGCCCGTTGACGTTGGCCGAAAAGATCATTTACGGCCACTTGGACGACCCCCACTTCGGCACCCCCAAACGCGGCGAAACGTACTTGAAGCTCCGCCCCGATCGCGTTGCCATGCAAGACGCGACGGCCCAAATGGCCGTGCTTCAATTCATCTCGTCTGGTCTTCCCAAGACGGCCGTGCCGACCACGATCCATTGCGACCACTTGATCACGGCGGAAAAGGGCTCGACCATCGACTTGAACACGGCCAAAGACGTGAACAAGGAAGTGTACGACTTTTTGGCGTCTGCTGGCGCCAAGTTCGGCATGGGTTTTTGGCGCCCTGGGTCTGGTATCATCCATCAAATCGTGTTGGAAAACTACGCATTCCCTGGTGGTTTAATGATCGGAACGGACTCGCACACCGTGAACGCTGGTGGTCTCGGCATGTGCGCCATTGGTGTGGGTGGAGCTGATGCCGTCGACGTGATGGCCGGCATGGCGTGGGAACTCAAGGCTCCCAAGGTAATCGGGGTCAAGTTGACTGGCAAGTTGAGCGGCTGGACGTCGCCGAAGGACGTGATCTTGAAGGTCGCCGACATTTTGACCGTCAAGGGAGGGACCGGCGCCATCGTCGAATACTTTGGCCCTGGTGTCGAATCGATTTCGTGCACGGGCATGGGCACGATTTGCAACATGGGTGCCGAAATCGGCGCCACGTGCTCGACGTTCCCGTACACCCAACGCATGGCCGACTACTTGAATGCGACGAGCCGCCCCGGTTTGGCGTCGGCTGCCGACTCGTTCAAAGCCAACTTGGTTGCCGACGACGGTGCGCACTACGACCAGATCATCGAGATCAACTTGGACACGTTGAAGCCGTTGCTCAACGGTCCGTTTACGCCCGACCGCGCCAACTTGGCCGGCAAGGGCATGAAGGAAGCGAGTGAAAAGCACGGGTGGCCGACCAAGTTGTCGGCCGGGTTGATTGGGTCGTGCACGAACTCGTCGTATGAAGACTTGAGCCGCTGCGCCGACTTGACGCAGCAAGCCAAGAAGGCCGGCTTGTCGTTCAAGGTCCCGTACTACGTCACGCCCGGGTCGGAACAAGTGCGCGCCACGATTGCGCGCGACGGCATCCTCGATACGTTTCTGGAAGCCGGCGGCACCGTGCTCGCGAACGCATGTGGTCCGTGCATTGGTCAGTGGAACCGCACGGACGTTCCTCATGGCGTCAAGAACTCGATTGTGACGTCGTACAACCGCAACTTTGCCAAGCGCGCCGACGGGAACCCGGAAACGCATGCGTTTGTGACGTCGCCGGAACTAGTGACCGTGTGCTCGATTGCCGGCACGACCACGTTTGACCCGGAAACAGACACGTTGACGACGCCCGACGGCAAGCCGTTCAAATTTGACGCGCCCCATGGCAAGGAATTGCCGCCGCGCGGGTTTGACGCTGGCGAGGACACCTTTCAACCGCCGCCCGCCGACGGCTCTACGTTGACGGTCAAGGTGAGCCCGACGTCGGACCGGTTGGCGCTGCTCGAGCCATTTGACGCGTGGGACGGCAAGGACTTTATCGACTTGCCCGTCTTGATCAAGGCCAAGGGCAAGTGCACAACGGACCACATTTCGATGGCCGGTCCGTGGTTGAAATACCGCGGCCACTTGGACAACATTTCCAACAATATGTTGATTGGCGCGGTCAACGCCGAGAACGACGAAACGAACCACGTGCTGCATCAGTTTCACGGCACGTACGACAAGGTGCCGGCCGTCGCGCGCGCGTACAAGGCGGCCGGCATTTCGTGGGTCGTGGTGGGCGACGAAAACTATGGCGAAGGGTCGTCGCGCGAGCACGCGGCGCTGGAACCGCGCCACTTGGGCGGCCGCGCCGTGATTGTCAAGTCGTTTGCGCGCATCCACGAAACCAACTTGAAGAAGCAAGGCATGCTCCCGCTCACGTTTGCGACCCCGAGCGACTACGCCAAGATTTCAGGCCGCGACAAGATTTCGATCGTTGGCCTCGACTCGTTTGCGCCCGGGAAGCCGCTGACGCTCCACGTGACGCCGCCGTCGGGCGACGCGTTTGATGTCGTTGTCAACCACACGTTCAACGACGAACAAATTGAATGGTTCAAGAACGGCAGCGCGCTGAACTTGATGAAAAAGTTGAACGCGTGACGTTGCCGAGATAGAGGATGCCGTCCATAATACACCCGTTTGGTTTGAGTGGTGGCTCAGCCCCGTTGGTTGCGCGGTGCCGCTGCCTGTGTAGAATGGGCATGAGGTCGTCGATCGACGGCGTCCCGCCGCTCGTTGGCTGTGTGTGTTTTTCCTGACGTGCGCGTCGGATCGAGTGGCACAACGCCATGCTGCTCGCTGAAATGGCGGGGTCGCATGCGGAACCGGCCATTTCAACGCGCCACCTTCATGCACATCTCGACAACGTGCACCGACGTTGGTTAGTGCTCGCCAGATCGATTTGGTGTGCGTTCCAAATCGGTGTGAGTGGACGAGTCGACCGCGCGATCACCCCTCGACGACTCTAGCCGACGCGGCGGGGCCGGCACCAAGCAAGTACTGTGCGCAGCAGGAAGCGTCGTCCCGCCGACACTCCATGGCGCGCGCCACTCGTTTGGCCACTCGCATCTCTCGACAACACCATGTTTTTCATTTACAACGCCGACGGCACGCTCGTGACAAACGTGCAAAAGGCGGTGAGGGTATAACGTGCCCAAAAGTAGAATGCCGTGGCGAGGAAGATCGAGATGGGGAGGGCCGGCAGCGCCTTGTGGAGCACCGACAGCAAGAAGAGTGTGCCTCCCAGTCCCTACGCACGCATCCCCACCGTGAGCACACGACGCGAACGACCCCATCACCACGCGTACCATCAAAATACAGACAAAGCAAATCACACACGTGGTAAAGTCGAAAATGGCCGCGCGGCCGACGAGGACGCTGTAAAAGATAAAGTCGCCGAGCCCGAGCTTGATGGTTTTGTCGTCATCGTCATCGTGGTCGCGCCGCTGCTGTTGGTTGCGGAGATCGATCGCAATCTGGACCGAGCACGGCACGCCGTCGGTGCCGCAGCTGCACACCATGTACTTGTGAAACAAGGACGGCCACATGCGCGGCTGGTTGGCAAAGAATCGCGCCGCGACTTGGTCCACTTTCCACGTGTCGTCGGGGGAATACCGCGCATAGAACGCAAACAGCAGCGCCTTGAACTCGTCTTCGGTCGCGCAGTCGTGCACGTCAAACGGCTACGCACACGGTCACCGCACGACGACACCGTCTGCACGTACCGCAGTCAAGTCGACGCCATCGAGCGACGGCGGCACAGCCGTCGGCGGTGGATCGATCTGTCGCGGTTCGCGCGGCGGTCGAGCTGCCGACGACGGACCGGACGATGAAGTCGGTGGGCGACGCGGCGCGGGCGCAGTGGCCGATGAATTGTGTGCCGCCGCATTGCCCACGCCGTCGCGGACCTCGGCTTCGTAGAGGAGCCCAGGCATCGGCGCCTGCTTTTCTTGGATGAGGTTGATCTAGAACATGCCGAGACGGCATTATTGGCACACCAGAGCGGACAACGACGACAATACCAGAACTTTGAGCGGCCCGCATGGCGTCAAGACGGCGCACAGATCGTAGCACGCAAACATGATGCAAAAGATCCACGTCGTCCACTCGGGCCACATGGAGAACTGCCATGCCAGGATCACCGACACCAAGACGAGGTACGTGTTTTGAATCCACTTGGCAACGCCCTGCACGCACCCGTTAGCACGGAAGCACCGCGCCAGCCACCCAAACCACTCGCCACCCGACGAGGGTTGTCCATGCCGCCGCCGCGAGGCGCGCCGCCACGGAAACTGGCGCGTCAAGCGCGCGTTCATCGGCATGGCGCCGCCACAACGGCTCGAGAGAAGCACACACCAGACGGGGACCGCCGCACGGCGACCCACGTTGAAAAAGCCATCCAAGCCACACATACCTTTTGGTAAAAGATCGCCACGACTCCCACGAACGAGAAATTCACCATGATAAACAAGAACGATACCCAGTCGATGGGCCAGTGGAGGTACGTGTCGTTGACGGTGTCGACGAGCTGGCCGCCGACAAACCCGAGAATCGCCGACGACGAAAACATAATGTACCCCACTAAGATCTACACACTCGATGAGCGCGCGCGACGCGCCGCACGGGACGTACCCGCATGCAGTTGAACTTGTACAGAAGCGCCATGAAGAACGTGAGACCGGTCACGAACCCAATCACGACGAGCGCGTTCACGAGCGAATGCCCGACAACTTGCCCAGCATCTGCGCCCTGGACTTCGTTGTACACGAGGTAGGACCCCATGGAACGCTCAAGGGCGCGACTCCGGCAATTCACGACGGCAACGCTGCGCGCAAGAAGAAATCAAGTCGTGCATGTCGTCGTCGTGACGTATGTAAATTCGTACCTCGCGATCACCATGGTCACACACACGGGCCATACCACAGCCCAGAACGAGTTGATCCCGTGCATCAAGTCTTCAGCCGTTTCTTCGCGTTCTTGTTGTTCGTCGGCCGAGACGTGCGGGGCGCTTGTCGGTGCGTCGCCAGGATGATCTGAGCTTGCAGGGACAATGCCCTCACTCGGCGTCATCACCTGTTCGTACTTGGGCGCAGACGGAGGCACTCCATTCGAGATCGGCATCGAACCATTTCGAATCAGTCCATCGCGCTCCTGGAGCGTCTTGTCTGTAGCCACAGTCGCCACGTCGGTGGCGGTGCCGCGCATCCCGTCGAACTCTTGCAATGCCCCTACATGAAACTACATTGCGAATCCGGATAAATATCCGGCTAGGCCAGACGAACAGCAGGATACAGGCGTCGTGGGCACGTTGCATACAAATCTCCAGTAAACCTGCATCACATCATAACCCGTCTGGTCGTGTGCTGGAGTTGTCTACCGTGGCAAGACGCCGGCGGCGATCGCGCGCTGGAACGTCCTCGGAAGGACCAAGACCCGATCAGGAAGGGACTGTGGAGCGAGGGAGAGCAGGGATAGTGTGAAAACGACACTGCGTTGGCTATCTTTGCCTGGAACACGCATCCAGCCCGCCTCGTCAGCGACAACGCGATGCATATATCGACAACCTCACGGGCCACGCGCGCGGCCTTCTCGCGGCAACGCAGACACCGTGCATGACGATGAGGCGCAGGATAGACAACTCGATCTTACGAGAGACGCATGTGGTCTTTTGGAAGGCATCCACCACAAATGTTCGAGCATGGGCACAGGCAAAACTTTCAGGAGCACAGCCTCCTCGGGTACCTGCGATGTCCGCGACATCAATCAGTCGTTCCATTTAAATAGCATTTCATGACGGCGATGGTTGCCCCCCGAGGATGCGGCGCTCCTCGTCGGCTCGCAACTCGGTCAGGAACGACAGCATTTGTGCCTTGAAAAACTTGAGCTGCTGGAGGTACCGCATTCGTCCCGCGGCCGCTTTGGTCTGTCGTTCGCGCGGGGACATGGCCACAATCTTATCGACGGCATCGCAGATCGCTCGTCCAGACACTGTCCACTCCATGCCCGTGCCGACGCGCCAGTGGTGCGCGACCTTGTAGTGGCGCCCCATTTCTTGGCCCAAGCTCCAAAAGTCGGCGCTCCACACCGGCGGTTTAAACAGTTCCGCGTCGACGAGGACTCCGCTCGATGCGTCGACGAATTCGCGCATGGGAAGGCCGTCCGTGGTGGCAACGAGCGCTCCTGCCGCCCTCGCTTGGTTGATGTAATGGCCAAACCTACATCCACAATTCAATCGCGGTGGCCACGACGGCAACGACGCACCCTTCCATCGCACTCGGGCACAGCATGACGGGGGCAGCGGCCAGGATTTCGCCAAACGCGGACGGGTCGATGTCGGCGCCGTGGCGATACTCTACATTTGCCTGGCGCTGTGGAAACAGCGACTCGTAATGCGCTTTGGATCTGTCGTCCTTGGCCAACACGACGAGCGGCGGCAGGTCTGGCCGCGCCTTCCAGCAGTCCAGGATCGCGCACGTGCTTTTGTGAACACTCCGGCCGTTCGCGTGCACGAACGACACGTGCTGAAACGATTTGGGCACGTGCTTCGCGACGAGGGCCGTCGGGTCGCTCGACGTATGCTGCGTGTAGCGAACTTTGGGCAGTCGGAGTCGCTGGTTGGTGTCGCCGTGGGTCCGCAGCGCCTGCGACGACTCGTTGTGCCGGTCCACCCACCGCGTCAACCGCGAGTACGCATCCCATGTCTTGGCCAAGATGTAGTCTGGCCGGCGGTACTGGTCCGCATTCAACTCGTACATTTCGACGTTCGGCATGAGCACGACCGGCTTGTCTGGTGGAAAGTCGGCCCGGGTTGGCAGGTCGTGCCAGTAGTGGTTCAAAAAGAGCATCGCGGACCGCGGGCACAAGTCAAAGTACGTGAATGACTTGCCTACGGCGTTGGGTGGGAGAAAGATGGGGCGCTGGAGACGTACCGCCGTGAAGAAACGTCCTGTCGACGACCCACTCGGGCAGCGCACGTGCCTGGAGGTACTTGACGTACGCCATGCTGTCCTCGCAGTACCCATGATCTCGAATCGAACTCGGGAGGAAGACATCAATGTCAGGACAATCCGAGAGCGCTCGAACGAGGATCGGCGTCGGTGTCTCGGGGGTCAGCACCAACGCGCGATCGACAGTCGAGCTGTTGTACGACCACGAGATCACGGCGTCTTTTTCGTGCGTGCACACTGCATTCAGGTAGCTCAAGTGCCGCATTTCTGCATTATCCACGTGCACTGGGGCCGATGCAATCGCGGTCTCCAGTGCTGCGAGTGCTGGTGGGAGCGACAACTGTTCGTGCGTGAGGGTTGCAAACAGGACCAACGTCACGATACCATCGAGCACCACATACACGGCAATCATCGCCAACGCCAGAAACAACAGCTTGTGCCACCCGCTGGAGGCCAACGGGGCATGGCCGAAGTAGAACGGCTTCGGGTTCTCCTTCCAGACTTGCCCATATCCGTGCCGTCGCATCATGATGCAGTCTGCGGTGCCAGGAACGCTTCATGTACCGGATAATATGTCCGGATAATACGACATGTCCGTGTATGCAATATCGCGCTTTTTCAAGGGTGGCAGCAATAGGGTTTTTGAGGTTTTAATATAAAACCCGATTGTCTGAGCTTAAACCCGATTTGGCAATTAAAGATTGGGTTTTACCACCCCTGCATTTTTTATCGGTACATTTGGCCAGTTTGGCACGAAAATTGAGAAATTCTACAGGCACCCCCTCGCCAGTTATTAGGAAAAACGGCAAAAGGAGCCAAGATTTGACGATACTGATACTGGGATTTTTGGCTCGATCGTTGCAAATTCACGGTCACGGTGGGAAATATTTGACTCCTGTGGTCCGAATTTTCTCCGAAAATATATCAACGAATGATACCACGTCTACTTCTGCCATGGTGCCGTTCCTCCAAACGGCGTTGTCGCTGTTCGGCATGGGCGAGTTTGCGACGCACCACGCGACGCGCGCTGTGTACGCCACCACAGGCATGCTGCAAGTGTCTCTGCTATCGCTGGGAGCACTCACGTTTGATTCGGAAGATGCAACGTTCCAAAAGATCAAGCAGTCCAAGGTGAAGGCGGTGGCCACCGTTGGCGCGGTGGCGCTAGCGTTCTTGGGGCTCGGCAGTCTCGTCGAAGTGTCGGCGGGGTATGGCCAGTTTATGGCTGCCGCCATCAAGGTCTTGGGCTTTGGCGGCATTCGAAACTATGTGCTCCCGTACGTGGTCGGGAAAAATGCCGAGTGCGTGTTCTTCGTCCTCCTTTTTGCCGGCACGTTGCTCGACGGGTTCGACCCGACCACGTCGTCCGCAGTGACAGCGGCAACCGTTGTTGGTAGTAGTCGCAGCCACCACGACGACCACCATCACGCTGCCTAATCGAGAGAACTCGCATGTCGTCAGCCTTTTCGTTGTGCATGCGATCACGGACAATCGACCAAGCGTCGACAAAGCTCCGCTGACCGACCAAATAAAACCATTTGACTCGCACGATTGACGTCGGTGGCTGCTCGTGGAAGTAAGTGGCACCTGCGCGCACCAACGACCGGTGGTTACGCGCTGGCCACAGCTGTCGGCACCGATCGCAAACAGCAAGCACTCATCGCGTTTGTTTTCGGGGCGAGATGGCGACCCACTCGACGTCGAGCCTCCTTTATCCTCCACCCAACCACACGACGGTGCCCTGCCCTCTGAAGTCGCAGAGGGCACCGCCGCTTTGTCTCAAGAGCGGAGTGATGTACTGGTTTCGAGGGTGCTTTGGGCTGGTAGCACGAGCTCCATGCCCATCGACTCGACCGCGGCGACAGCGTCGATCCTTTGTCGGCGAGCTCACCTCTGCCGACGTAGACGCTGTGTCAGCGTGTGGAGGAGCTGCTGGAATATGTATTGAATTAACTGCAGCCGCGCTGGTCTGTCGTTTAGTCGTCGCCGACAAAGGCCACTGCAATCGTGTTGGACACGGGGCGCATCCAGGATTCGCCAGCGCCAACGCGCCACACGGTGATGCGAATCACGTCGCTGCCCGTCGCGTTCGTTGCGGCCGTGTACACAACATCGCGGAGGGCGGCATTCACAGCGACGACGGGGCCTTGAACGACGATGCGGGGGCTATCTCGGCGGGAGCTGCGAACGAAATTGACCAGCGTCATGTCGGCTAGGGTCAGCAAACCTTGCGAGCAGTTGAGCTCGACTTGAATGTCCGTTCCGAGTTTGTCCACGTCCTGGATGAAGATCGACTGCCGCTTCGACACCCACGGGCTTGGCGTTGTCATCCATGCGCTCTGCACCTTGCTCGCCCACAGACTATCTTGGTCGTTTGCTGTCGCGGGGTAGTACAACGTGTTTCCCGCAATGCCGAATCCCGCCGGCTGTGGCATCTGACCCATTGCAGCCACATCCACATGGACATTTGCGACCAGAAGCGTCGGCGGTCGCGTGGGCACGGCGCCGGAGATGCTCTCGATGCTCCACAGACTCGCCACGCCGTCCTTCGTGGCCATGAAGACGAGCATCGGCGGCACGGCGACGCTGCTCCGAGTGCCCGGCGACACCACGGTAAAGTACGACGGGGCCGATCCTTGGAACCCGGGCTGCAGGTCCACCAGCATCGACGTCACCGTTCCGTCCGTGACCCACAGCTCGCGGCCAGCCGTCCCGTCCGTCGCGCTGAAGTACACTCGTCCGTTGTACACAGTCATGCCGGTAGGGGTACTGCCGTCGGGGCCAGGAAAAATGTCCATGACAAGCGTTGTCGTGATCCCGTCGGTCCGCCACAGCTCCGCACCGTGCGTTCCGTCGCTCGCTTGGAATACAAGCCACGACGGAAGCGCCGCTAACGACGCCGGCGACGACGAACACACACCGACGCACACGTCCGCCACCAGTGCCGCAACGGTCCCGTCAAACATCCACAACTCGGCGCCGAACGCCGCCGTCTCGGCCGTGAAAAACACAGTGGTGGACTGGAAGACCGTAAAGAACTTGGGGAAACTGCTGCGATTCCCGGCCTCAATGTCCACGGCCAGGGCTGCCGCGCCCGACGCAGCGTCGTATACCCACAACTCGACGCCGCGGTCGTGGTCCGTGGCCTGGAACACGATCGTGTTTTGGAATTCCGTCATAAACGCTGGGTTCGACCCCGCCGGTCCCGGATTCAAGTCGCCGACACGGGAGAACGTGGTCCCGTCATACGACCAGAGTTCCCGGCCGTACGCCGTCCGCGCCACCGCCGGCTGCTGCACGCACACAATCCCGGCAAACGCTTGCGGCGAAAAGTTGCCGAGTTCAACACGGAACGACTCGCGTTTGCCAGCGTGCTTGCACGCGCCCGTGGCCTAGCATGGCCCGTCAGCCACACACACACGGAGCTTGTGCCCGTTTGTACCTTGGAGTCGGAGAATCGAAAGCACTCGCGCACTTGGCTGCCCCACGTGTACCCTTGCCACCCGCACTGGTTGTAGTATGTGAACGGCGGCGCGCGGACCGCCGACATCTCGTCCGTGCCCTGCGCCGTTCGAAACAAGTCCATGCCTTGGGCCGTCGAGGCCCACAAGTACCCGGGAGGGCATTCATATACCTACGGCAATCGTCAGCGACGGAGCCCATGGACAAACGGACGTACTGCGTTGGGCTGCCACGTTGTCGAGTGGCCAACGACAAAGGCCACGCTACCTCGTCCGTGAAACGAACTCAGACGAACTCCTTGGCACGCATCCTGCAAATGCGCCGGGGGGCGCCACGACAGATCGAGCCCATCCGCGGCAAAGTACACCTTCGAGTCGGAGGAAAACACCATGGGGTGTGTGGGGGATGCGCTGCCTTGTCCAGGGATCAAGTCGGACAGCCGCATCGTGACCTGCCCATCCGACTGCCACAGCTCCGAGCCGTACGTGGCATCCGTGGCTTGGAACAAAATGCGGCCTTGAAACGCGGTGAAGAACGTCGGCGATGAACCGGACGAGCGCACGCGAGTGCTTTGCCAGTTCTCACCGACGCCCCACAACCCAAACTTGGTGTCAGGCTGGATCAGCTCGCTCTTGAAAAGCGACGACGGCGTCGGTGGCACGTACACGGGAGCTGCTGGAAGGAGAACTGGCGGCAGCGCCACGGTCGGCACTCTCACGGATGTGGACGGGTTCACCTGGACGACTGCCGAAGGAACAAGGACTTGCATGGGCGTGAGCACCGGCAGCACTCGAATGTCCAACGTCGTCGACACCGTCGGCGCCACGAGGTCGGATACGTTGACTTGGACAAATGCGCTCCCAGAATACGTTGGAGCTGGCGTAAACACAACAGTCGTCGCTTGCAAATCCAGCACCGTGCCTTGGATCGTCGCGGTAGCATCCAGCGATGCATTGCCGGCCTGTCGCCACAACGTTGCCGGGCCAGAGAGCGACACCCACCCGTTCGAGCACGACACAGTGACCTGGAGCACATTCGAGTCGACATCGTTCACGGGGAGGTGCCCAAGGGTCAACGGTGTGTCCTCTGACGTTTCCCACAGCTTGTCGAGGAACGTGATGGTCGGCGGGTCGTTGGCTGCCAGCACATCCACAAACAACGTCATCACGTCGTCCAGAGTCGTGTCCGAGTCGCAGAACTCGCCTTGCAACTGCAGCTTGACCACGTCGTATTGCACGCCAGCGTTCAAAGCATGGGACGTCCAGTCGCGCGCGGACTTGAACACAAGTGCTTGCAGCGCCAAATTCAGCGCCGCTACCGTGCCTTGCACCGACACGGACGAGTAGAAGAATGGCGGCAACGACGGATGCACGACGGGCGGGCTGAGTACGCGCAGCCCTTTTGTCGACGGCAGCATGAGCCCGCCAAACGTGGCTTGCAGCGTCAGTGTGATGCGCCTCGTGTGGCCCATGCGATCGAATTCTGGGTCGTACACAGCTAGAACGACGTCGTCGAGGGATACGTACAAGGGATGGTCTTCGACCACTTGAAGGAAATGAGTGGCTGCGGCCGTCGGGTTTAGCATTGGAACACGCCACGATGGCGCGTCGCAGACGCTGGCAACATGGACTGGCACGACGACGGTCGTAGTGTGAGCGCCGCCAGTCGCCCCGAGATCGTTGGCGGTCAGCGTGATCGCGTCGTGGCCAAACCAATCGATGGCACCGATGTAGTAGCTCGAGTCCAAAGCGTACTGCACGTGGTCGAGTGCTCCCCGGACAACGACCCGGTGGCCGTCCACCATCTTTTGAATGCCCAAGTCCGACGTGATGACGACATGACCATGGGCAACGTCGACCGTCAACTCCATCAACGCGCCAAACGTTCGGTCCATGTCCGGGTCGGAGATTTGAACCACGCCCTTCAAGCTCTGCCGCACGTCTTCCTCGGCCACCAGCACCGGCGACACGGCGACGAGCACAGGTGGCAGATTCGCCATCGAGTCGACTTGAATGTGCAGTGTGGTCGACACGACATTCGGGCCACCAACGGCGCCAGCATTGCCCAAATCATCCACGGTCAGGACGACTTGCGGACGATGGGTCGCGCTGTCGGTGAAGGGTGTGGCATGGTACGCATCGTAGTCGAGAAAGTAGACAAGGCCGCGCAGCGCAGCATTCAGGCTCGTTTCAGTCCCTCGCAACACCACGTACGCATCGCGAATGCCGGTTCCGTCCACGACGACGACGTTTGGAAGCGACGCGAGGGTGCTCAACGTGACCGACCCGACCTTGACATCGATCGTGACGTCGAGCAGATCGCTTGGCCCAGCATCCACGTCATGAAACGACACGCCATCGAGGTGCAAGCCGTTCTGCCACTTGGACAGGGCCAGCCTAAACGTCGGCGCGATCGGCGACGCCCCTGGCGATGACAAACCAGACCGTTGATCTGCAAACGACCACGTTGGCGGGTCGTTGACGCCCACGATTTCCAGTCGAACAAGGCGCTGACCAGGGAGACTCGGCACGTCCCAGCCGTCGTCGCTTGCCATCACGGAATGCACCGACACGTGCAACACGTCCGACCCAACGTAGTTGCGATGGCTTTGGTACGTTAGCGTTGCCAGCGCCTGATTGATTCGGTCGTACGAGCCCATCAAGGACACTTGACGGGCGCTGGCGGCGGCCTCTGCCAGCACACCGGGGACGATGTCCACAGCCAACGTGCCATGGGTCACAAACAATGCCGCGGCGATCACGCTGGACGGCATCGCGTCGACACACGAGATGGCCAAATTCGCCACATGCAGCACTTCGTCTTCGTTGACGACAATCGTGCCTGCAACGATCGAGCTCACGGGCGTTCCAGCAGCGGTGCCGTCCGCCGCCGACGGGACCGAAATGAAAATGTCGTCTGGCGTCGGCCAGACACGAACGTCGATGGTCGTCGACGTTGACGCCGCCTTCAAGTCCGTCACGGTTATCGTGACGTGGTCGTAGTCGTCGCCAACGTCCGTGTTCCAGTGCTGCGCCGACACGTACGTGATGTTGGCCAGCGCCATGTTGACTTGCTGCAACCCTCCGGAAAATTCAACATGGCGGCCTTGGGAAGAAGGGATAGCAGACACTCCACTTGTAAACTTGAGCGCGACCGTGCCGTACGCTACGTCCAGCTGCACGCGAAGGACCTCTCCAACGTCCGAGTCCACCGCCGTGAGGCCGTCCAGGACAAGCACGCGGTCTTCTTCGACTTCAAAGTAACGCGAACGCACGGCAAGGAACGGCACGGTGTTGACCGCGTTGACGAGAATCGGCAACACGACCGTCGACGACGCCACCAATGTCGCGGTCAATGTGAGGTCGTCCGGCCCAACATACTGAGGCGATGGCCGATACGTAACATGCCGGAGGAGTTGGTTGAGCACGGGGACGGTGCCGACCAAGTGGATTGTTGGGGCTGGTGCCTCGCGCCCACACCCGCTCAATTCCCCATGCCGCACACGCAACTCGACGTCGAGAGTGCACTGGCGTCCTGCGTCATCATCGTCGACGTACGATCCATCGACCGAAGGGTGCTTCATGCAGTCCACAGCCCGCAGCTGCAGCGGCGGAAACGTCCACGACGCGTCCTGGTCAATTGAAAACGGCGCGATCGACGCAATGCGCGGGGACAAGTTGTCCAGTGTCCGAAGAACTGGATCCATCACACTGTTTGGAACGAGCCACACGGGCGAGTCGTCCCGCGCATCGACGTAAATGGCCGCCGACGCCGACGTCGACTGGCCTTGGGACGTCAAGTAGAGTCGAAGCGCTATCAGAGGACTTGACGCGTCGTCCACCGAGGACGGCGGGGACGACAACACGGCGGACGCATCGCTGTGAAAGTTGAGTGGGGCAAGGAAGCGCAATCCACGCAGCGCCACGTTCAGCGCTTGCACCGAGCCCGTCAGCGCCAGGTGTTGTGGGGACTGGACAGCCACTCGAACCGACGACGGACTGGCGGTGAGCGGTGCAATGGACACAGCGCCCATGGACACGGCAATGTCCAAAGTCAAGTTGACCCCGCCAGCAACAGTCCGTGGTGCGGGCGTTGCCGGCACAACGACAGGAAAGACCATCGTGCCTGGCGCCGCAGCGCCAACTTGAAACGAGTCCGGGTCCATCTCGAACGACGAAGACGTCGCGTCCCATAGTGGAATCGTTCCGGCCGACGTGCCGTCCGACTGGTACCACGTGCAGGTTTGGGTAGGTTTGAAGGGTGATCGAGGGCCCGTCATGCAAAATACCAACCGCGTGCGCACGGCACTGCTTTGCATCACCGATTGGACCGTTAAGAAGGACGGCGAGCTGCTCCCAGCTCCGACCGCAATGTCGTGGACCAGTGAAATGGTCGTGCCCGCCGTCGCGTACAGCTCGACTCCCAACGCTGCCGACGCTATCGCGGCAAAGTACACCTTGTTGTTGTAGCACGTCAACGACATCGGCGAGCTTCCCGTGGCGCCTGGCCACAGATCTTGCACCATTGTCGGCGCGGCAACCCCATCCCACTTCCACACTTCTCGGCCGGACACGCCGTTGTCGGCCGTGAAGAAGAGAAGGCTGTTGCAAACGACGAGGTCGTGCGGATTCGAGCTCGGTGGGCCCGGGGCGATGTCGCCGACGACGTTGTAAGCCCATCCGACGTTGCTAACTTGAATCGTCGACGCAGACGCCCATAGCTCCCGCCCTGCCGACTCCGACGTGGCAGCAAACACCAAGCGGTTTTGAAACTCGGTAAAGTTGGACGGCAGCGAGCTGCGAGGACCCAAGTTCAGGTCGTCCACGAATGTCGAAATGCCGTTTGTCCGGTACAACTCGATGCCGAACGCAGTCGTGGTGGCCTGGAAGACGAGCCACGGCGCACTTGTGAGCACCGTAAGAAACTGAGGGGACGTGTACGGCGGCAGCGCCATGCCATTTCCACCGACCAAGTCCACTTTGGTGGCGACGAGCCCATCGAATTGCCACAGGACAGACTCGCGAGGGGCGTCGGCGCCGTCGACCACTCGAATACACACGATACCGGCGAATTCGGACGTTGTCTTGCCGTACTCGACGGGATGCCCGTCGACTCGCCCGGCATGCTTGAACGCCCCCGTCGCCGCCGAGTCGGCAAAGCGAAACCACTTACGGGACACGCCTTGGTACGTGTACTGCGACCACCCGCATTGATTCCAAAACACAAACGATGGCGAGGTGGTGGCGCTGCCCGTGTCGGTGAACGCAGCCTTGGCCTGGGCCGTGGTCATCCAAGCATACCCCGCCGGACAATCGTACGTCTTGGCAGGCTGCCACACATTCGACTGACCGACAACAAACACAATGTCGGGCGAGACAGAGCTCGTGCGGCGACCTGCCACGCACGGCCCGCTTTCACTCGGCATGCGGTCCACAAGCGTAAACGAGAGGTCAAGCCCCGACGCTTGAAAGTACAGCTTTCCTTGAAACGAGGTCAAATACCGAGGCGAACTCGACGCAAAGCCTGGATTCACGTCCGCGGCCACCTCCGTGACGCTGCCTACGTCCGATACAAACAGCTCCCGGCCGTACTGGAGCGACGTGGCGGCAAAGTACAGGCGATTTTGGAACCAGCAAAACCACCGCGGGTTGTCGGCGGTCGAGTCGACCAACTTGAGTCGCCACTCGTTGTCGTCCTTGGCAAGCAACCCCAAGTCCGTGTCTGGTTGCAGCACGAGGGACTTGTACAACCGACGGACTAGGCCGACCGTTGGACGTGCAGTTGGGGTGGCGTCGGCGACCGCGACGTCGGTCACCGCAAGAGATGTGTCCTCTATGGCAGTGTACACGGCGCGGCCAACGTTCAAACGCGGCAGCGCATACACCGGCGCGATGTGCAGGGTGACGTGCCGCACATGCTCCAGAGTGGCCCCGCCGGCGCTGTCCTGGACCCAAACACTGATGTGAATCTCTCCTGTGAACTGTGTTGGGGGCATGCAAGTGACTGCACTCAACGCAGCATTCAAGCGAAGGGCCGTGCCTACGACGTGCAGCCGCGTGCCGGATTCGTCGACGACGCGCATGCCATTCAACGTGGCGACGGCTAGTTTGCCGGCGGTGGCCGTGACGATCAGCGTTATGGTCGTCGCGGGTGCCAGTTGTAGCGACGACCCGTCGTCGACGTCTTCGATCGAGATGCGAGGCAGGTGCACGACCGTGTCTTGCGGGGAATGCACTTCAAACACGGGAAAGTATGCGCTGGTAAACGGCGCTTCGACGGACCCGTCAATGTGGACAATCGGCGCGTCGTTCACCGGGACGACGTGCCATCGAAACACCCTTGTCGTTTTGTTGTTGAGGACCGCCACGAGCTGCTCCGTGCCGTGGAAGTTGCGTGGCGGAGTGTAGTAGATGTGGTCGAGGACACTGGACACAACGCCTGCTGCTACATTCATCTCGATGCCCGGCGATGCTGCGTACGCAGTTGTGTGAAGGCGGCCGTGCGACACGGTCAACGAGATGCCTATCATGGTGTACAGCGCCAAGTCGTCGCTTGCGTTCAGTCGCAGCGGAAGTCGAACGTTCGACGCATCTTCCATCACGCTGGTGAATCCATCCAACTCGATCGACAAGGCAGAACTTGGCGGCTGGAACACTGCCATCGGGAGCACCACCGCCGTGCCCCTTGCGTCGTCGTGGTCGTGCAAAGAAATCGTGATGTCCACCGCGCCGTACCATCGCACCGACTCAAAGGCCAGCGATGCCAACACGCCATTCACGCCAAACGCCGTGCCTTCAACGACCAAGTTGAGCCCCGTGTGTTTTTGGCGCAGCACCAGGTCAGTGTGCCCTTCGTCGATCACTACCCACGACACCATGGCCGGCATGCCAAAGTTGTCTACGGTGGTCAGGGATGCCGTCGCTCCTTTCCCGGTCAACGCCGACGCGTCAACAGTCAATGGCGGAGTGGATGCCGCATCGATCTGGACGAACGCGACGACAACGCCACACCCCGCTTGCAAATCCCGACGCGATGTCCGCACGATGACTTTTAACTCGAGTTGAACAAAGACTGGGAGGGCCGTCAGCGCGGAGGTGAGGTGATCGGCCAACGACGGCGACGATACTGCCACGGGGGCAGTCGCGTCCGCGCCCAACTTCAGAACGAACGACCCCCCGATCGCGTTGGCTTGTTGAATCGACGTGATTTGAACCGAACAAACGGTACCGCAGGTCGAGCTGCCAACGGTGGGCAGAGGGAGCGACGCCGGCGCGCCGCGGACCGTGACTCGCCATGTGAACGCATTGTTGGCATCGGGTCCTGTCCGTGTAATGGATGTCGTCGACGACGGCGGGAGCACCGACGCAAGCTTTGCCTCGAGCGATTCCGACTCGCGACCACCCAAGGATCGATCCATGCGTTCTTGAGACGCCATGGCCACCGCATTGAATTGGATCCAGTCGCTGGTTTTGCCCTGCCACCACACGAGCGTGAATGTTGCGGACGTGAGCGGGGACGTTGCGACCAGTGCCACATCAAACACCATGTCGACGTGGGTGCCTGTCAAGTTGAGGTGGTAGAGCGCTGGCGGTCGTCCATACCCGCGTTGTACGCGCTGAATCTTCACAGTCGCTTGGTTCCCAACGGTTCGATCGACCCCAGCTCCAGCCAGAGCGGCAGGGGTCGGTTGCAGCAACGTCGCGTTCACTTGCAACAGCGGCAGACTTGTCTCGCTTCCCTCGTCGCCGTTGGCGCTCTGAAGGAACGTGACCGTCCAAGTGTACCCGCCGGCAGCATCCGGGGTCGTTGTTCGCACAACGCTGACGAATTGGATGGTCTGGAGCGATTCCAACGCTGCCTGCATATCCAGTGCCGATATCGTAGCCGGCAACAACGGGGTCGATGCCCCGGCAAACGCCAACGAGAACGAACCAGTCACGATTTCGGGCGGCTGACTGGTGAACACGCTCGCAACGAGGCCGTTGGTGGCGCCGACGAACGTTATGTCTACTACCCACAGCACCTCGCCTTGATTGTCTCGCAAGAGTTCGACCTTCCACGTCGCATACGGACCCCTCCAGACGCGGACTGGCATGGGCAAGACGCTTTCGAGCTTGGCTTGCATCGACTCGTCCACGCCACGTCCTGGCCCGGCCCCGGTCACCTCGTCGAACCGCGACGCGACTGCCGCAGCGCTACAAACGACAGTGGCCGAGTAGGTCGGCGTCGGCACTTGATCGTCGCGACGCTGTGTCCAGGACACTTGCAAAGTGATTTGCGTGGCAGGTGATAGTGGAGGCGCCCCCAGCACAATGTCGACAATCCTGTTCCACGGATTCGAGATTTCCGTTTGAATTGTTTGGACTTCAGGGACAAAGGACAGTAGCCCCGACGTCGTCACGTGCTCGATTTCAGCTGCACTGGACGACTTTATCGCTACCCTCGGCAGCGCGCACGGCCTGTTCGCAGTGCACGACCAATTCGACACGTGGTTGGACTTGGTCGGGATCGCGTCCACGACCACGAGCTGGCTGGGAACACGCACAAATTGGCACGGCACATACTGGCTGACGTTCTTTGCCTCGTACGCCGGCACGCCGTGGCCAAGGTCATCGACAAACAAATCGAGTCCTCCGTAGCCAGCAACGCAACGAAGACCGGCCAGGACGGCGTTCGAGTCTTTCCAAGCGACTTGAAACGTCACGTCAGTCAGCGCGTCTGGACCTGCAGACAACGGACTCGGTACGCTGTGCACAATCGTCGGTGGCCACGTCGACGTCAGCTGGAACGACGCTGTCGTGGACTTGATGGAAACGAGGACGACGGACTCGGTGATGCCGCTTTTGGTCGTGTCGGGGTCGGCGACGGACACATGCCACGTCGGCTGCGATGAAAAGTGGATTGTTGGAGGGTGGTTGGAGTCGGGCACGACCACGTGCACCGCACACGATGCGCTCGAGTCGCCAGCAGTCACTGCCACGGCGACAGTGTCGTTCTGGCTTGTGTGAACCGACAACCCGCGGGACAGCGCGTCGGACACAGCCGACGCTGGCCCTTGGAACCACACCTCGTCCATCCACGACAACGAGCTCACGATCAAGCCAGGCGTGAATGCCAATTGAAGTCGAGTGCCGGACATGCTGCTGGTTATGTGGACGCGCGTGACTTGGTTCGGACGGGGGCCGCCAGGGATCGAAAACCACGTCGCCATGGACGTCGGTGCGTTTTCCCGTACAAGTTGAGGCTCCAGGGGGCATGCCACGGATACAGGGACACGAAATGGCGTCACTCGGATGGGAATGCGCACGTGAGATGCCACGCTGCTCAACGATACATGCCACAACTGCACCAGCACTTCGTCGTCGTACGCGTGGCTTTGCCCGCTGCGGGCGGTCGCTGTGTACACTAGGTTCTCGACAAGTTGACGCAGTTTGTCGGGGACGTCGCGCCATTCGAGCATCGGACGTTGTCCCGCCGAATCCGACGACGACAAGAGGCCGAATCGGGTCGTGACCGTCACATTCCGCCGTTCAGTCAAGGGCGAGCCATTCGCGACCAGCTCGACCATGCGGTACAGGGCCATCGATTCCGTCTCCATGATGGCGGCGCTCCCCGCGTCGTCGAGTGGGTGCGCGATCAACGACAGGGGCGCTGCGTCTACGACTACTTGAATCGCCAACGTCGTGGCGTTGGCAAGTGCCACTGTCATGGTGTCGTTCACGCCGCGCGCGACTGCCACGTACTCGAGCGACGCGACAAGTTGGTTCAATTGGGCTCGGCGACCGACGACGTCAAGGGCTAGCGGCTCGATCCGTGGGTACGACAGACCTGGAATAAACGCAAACCCAATGCGTCCGAAGGCTGTCCGCACGGTCAAAGCAAAGAATGCGTCGTCGTCGCCAAGCTGCAGCGAACGGCGATGCCCTGCCGTCCATGACACTGAGCTCTCGTGGTGCGAAACATGCCAGGCGATTATTCCTACATGGGGGCCACCATCCCACACTGGGATGTCGACGACTGGCGCAATGAACACGGGAATGCGCATCTCGCGGTCCAGACCGTACGTAATGACAATGTCGTCGTGGCCATTCGCGTTTGGAAGCGGGCGATACCACACGTCAGTCGATGCCAACACGGTTTGCAAGCACAGCACGTCGCCAGCAATCCACCCAGCACCAAGATGCTGCACACACGGATGAAACGAATGCACAAGGACAACCCCTTTCGTCGCGACAAAGCGCATCGATGTCGTCGCAGTGGCCGCGCTGGCGTCGAAGAACAGCCCCACGACGGGTCCAGGAACGTCCTCGACGCCGACCCACTCGGACGTGTACTCGAGCGACGGCACATTCTCAACAAGCCCGGTCGATCTGGGCGCCGTGGATGCCATGACCGCGATGCGCAACGACGCGCATTGCGGGTCATGGTGCCGGTTGGGGGTGTCGTCCACGACTTCTTCCCCGCACAGGGCAATCGTTCCGTTCGTGGATATGGTGGTGGGCATGGCGACGACAAGGCTGACTGTACAAGACGCAAACAACGCATTGAGTTGGCCGAGCGATCCTTGCAGGACAATCTTTGTCCCGTGGTCGAGCTCGACAAACACGCCAGGCATAAACGCAGGCAGGACAAGCCGACCCACCGCGTCGTCGATAGCAATCTCAACTCTGTACAGCGTGGTGGCGGACGCATCCACATCACGCAGCGACCACCAATTGCACACTGAAGTCGTTGCATTCTCCACAGGCACTGGCTCCGCCGCGACGATCCATGCTGGCGGGTCATTCACTGGATGCACGGCCAGTGGCAACGTCGACACCGACACCACCGCCGGGCCATGTCGACAGGACAATTGCAATGCGTCCTGACCAAAGAAGTCGACGGCGGGCTGGTACAGCAGTTGGAGATCTGTGCGTTGGCTAGGAAGCGTGACTTGTTTCACCCACGGGGTATCGGTGCGCAGCGACAGCCATCCATGTTTGACCGCTGCGACCACTGTGTGGTTGGGACAGAGTCGCACGACAAACGGATGCAGCTCCACGATCGAATCTTCTAGGACGTCGACTTCGACATCGGAAAAGTCCGCGCAAGCAGGAGCTGGGGCGGTCGGCAGCGACACGCTCAACGCCACGGTGACGGGCGGCTCGTTCGAACCAAACTTTCGAGCAGACACGATGATGCGGTCCATGCCGACTGGCAGGGTCCCAGACGTGGTAGCAATCGTAGGAACGGCATAGACGAGGCCGCCGAGATACGTCGTCGCATCCTGGACCGAACACACCACCGACGACGTCGTCGGCTTGGCTTTGGAAAACGACACCGAGCCCTCCAGTGCTGTGGCGCTCAATTCCACAGCCAACGGCGGAGCGATCCAGGCCACGTCGGCGTCCACCGCGGTCAACTTGACCGGCGGGAGCACGTGCCAGCCATTCGACCACGTTGAGATGGTGAACACAGTGGCTGCCGCTGGCCAAATCAACTCCAGCGGGTCCGGCACGGGCTCGACGAACACCGACACGTCCAGGAACGCTTCGGACGAGACGTTCTTGGCCGGGCACGCCACCGTTTGGATGGCGTGGAAGGACAGTGTGTCCATGCCTGAAAAGTTTGCCTTGGGGTGGTACCAGGCATCCGTCATGGAGACGGGAGTCTGTGGTTCGGTGCTGTGCAACTCGAGTGGCAAGCCGCCGTCAGGTACAGCGTGAGCTGTGACCACGCGCCCTGATTGTGCAGACACCTTGACCACAAGTGCCGTCGAGCAATTGGATGGCGTCGTGGATGAAAAGTTGGCTTGATACCCTCGTAGCACGACTGCAGTGTCTTCGACAGCCAACAGCGTGGACGACAGCGACACAATCGTGGGTGGTACGAGCGTTAGTGGCACCGCCACGTGGAGCTGGATCGTCAAGCCAAGACCGTTGCCGGCATCGAGACCAGACAGCACAAACGTGACCAGGTCCATCCCGTAGAAGGACGCCGGAGACGTGTAGTGCAGACCCGAGAGCGCTTGTGCCAGGTTGCCAAACGTGCTCTCGATCGCCAGGACACGCCCGCCGTTCTTTGACCCGACCATGTACTGGACATGATTGCGCGTGGCGATATCCCACCATAACCATCCATGAAGAGCCTCCAACTGCATTCGCACGACCTGCCACGTCCTGGCTGCCGTTGTGGCAGAGCCAACGTCCACCAGTTGTAGCGGCACTTGAACCGACTGCCCTGGAAGCACGGTCAGCAACGATCCGTTCTGGAGCGCGCCGGCGAAATTGAAACGAGGCCATACGGCATCCACTGACGGCGCAGGAACGGCTGTGGGTTTGTCCGATCTTGGTGCAACTCGCCCAAGCGGCCACTGCACCGACCACGGTGGCAAGTCGTCCACGGTCAAGTTGAGCACCGCCATCGCGATGTTCTCGCCCGTCTCGATCGGTTGAATGGCCAGTGTGTACAGGCTGCTCGGTGCAACACGAAAGCGCAGTCGACTGGCGCTTGTGTACGTAATTTGCCACGCCGTCGAGTGCGCTGCACGCGGCGCGAGTGTGTCAACCGACAGGTCCACGACGCCGGCGAGTCGACGCTCCAAGTTGGATGCGTCCCAGTGCGCATCCGTCGTGCTGACGAGCGCATCGTTCACAAACAGTTGAAACGGAGGCAGCTGTGGCGCGTCAAGCTCAATCGTTGGGCGGCGCACGAAGATGCCGTTTCCACCGAGTGCTGTTGGGGAGTGGTCGACAAGGTCGTTCGACGCGACGGCGACGCTGTCGGGGACGTCCTGAAGAAATTGCACCGTGCACGCTTGACTGGTGCACGCGGATGCAGTGGCGAGAGCCCATGCCGCTTGCCATGCCGACGACGCGGCGGTCGCGACCACGGTATCGGGTCCCGCCAACCATCGGAGCACAGGCATCGAAAACCAAAACGCACCACCGGCGCCCTCGACTTGATACTGCACCGTGACGGCGTCAACGTGCGTTTTCGTGACGACTAGGGTAGTCGACCCAGTGGCTTGACGGAGAGCCGACTGCAACGCGGCCGCCGACACTTGAATCGGTAGAGCGGTTGTTCGCTGATTGCTTTGGGTGGACCAGACCATGTCGCCGTCGGTCGGCCGCACGAGCGCGACAGGAAAGGGAAACGTCATGGTCACAATTTGCGCACGAGGCACCGTCCCGGAGCCACAGCGAGCTTGCACTTCGGCAAATGCCGCGTCCAGACTGGCCCCTGTCACGGGGTACGGCATGGGCGGCGTAGTACATGACGCTTCCTTGAGGCGCAGCGTGAGCTGGAAGTGGCCTGTGACTGGCCCAGCCCCCGTCGGGACAATCGACAGCACCACCACCGATCGCATCGTGCCGGCCACTCGATTCACGGCGACTTGGTCCACTTGCCCACGACGCCACACAACCTTCGCGTTGGGAAACAGCATCGTTCGGTCGAACGCAAGGTTCAAGTGCCCGACACCAACATCCGTCCACACGGTGGACACGGACGTATTGCCGTTGATCGTCGCGCCGGAGACGCTCAACATCGCTTGGCGCACACGCCACGTCGGCGGCACGGGAAGCCGCGCCGCCGTCGTGTGGAGCGTCGCGTTGGCGAGGACAACCACCTCCACCCAGCGCGACAATCGCGCCGGACGTTTGGGCGACTGTAGTGGCCGGGGATGCTTTGTGTGGAGGACGACGTGGCCAGCGGTCGCGGCGGACACAAAAATCTCCTGCACGCGTCGCTGACCACCGCCAAGGGGCTGCACGACGAACGAATCGACTTGGAATCGGTCGGACAAGGCGATGGGCTGGTAGTGCATCGACGGCAGAGCCATCGACGACGTTGTGACCGAAACATTTCCCGTGTAAAACTGAACAATCGACATCCACGGACTAGCGTCGGCGTCCCAAACCACTTGAAGCAAGTGCAATGCCGTGACGTTACTGAGGTACCATCCTGTCGTCCGAGACGTGGTCGACGCATGCGTCCCCACGACGACGTTGGCAAACGTGGCAAACGTGGCCTGCAGCACACGTTCGAGGCGGGTGGCTGTCGTGCCGACAAACGATAGCGGCGGCGTCACGGCACCTCCCGACGGCGCGTTCCGGTCGGACACTTGTCGAAGTCGAAAGGCTGGCATGGCTTGCACGACTTGGATCGCGACGTCGGCCCCGATGCCTGTCAACCCGGCAACCGCTCGAGAACTCTCCCGGACGACATCCACGTCGACCGGCGCGGCAAACTCGAGGCGCCAACATGCCGTCTTGGCGCCCAAAGGCTGCACAACCACCGATTCCACCATCGGAGACAGGGCCGCTTCGAGCGTGGCGCTCGAACTGTCGACCGGCAGTGGGCGCTGCGGGTTGCCATTCAGCACCAACGCGAGCGAGCCACCGATTGCATTGCCAGGAGTGACGACCACGACGGACGAGCCCGTGATGGCCGACCCCTGGACGTTCTCGAACGATAAAGACAAAGCTGGGACGTTGCCTGCCGACGGATGCAGCACCATGTCGAATTGCACCCGGGTCGCCGTTGTCGATTTCACGAGCGTGGCCACGTGGAGTTGCAAACCGGCCACCACCACCAGCGCGGCTTGCGCCGAGGTCGCCGTGGCGGAAACGAGCACACTGCGGCCAGTGGCGGTGTTTGTCAGCATGAACGATCCATGGAGAAGGGCTGTGTCGGCCACGTCGATGGTCATGCGCTGGTACGTGGCGATGCTCATCACTTTGGTGCACACTTGAACAATGTGCCTGGCGACGGCGTCGTCGAGCGGTGACGCGGATGCAGTCACGGTGGCCACCATGTCCGACGTCGTGGGAAACCGAAGGAGAGCTGGCTGGATGGTCAGGCGGGGCGGACGGCCGACGTACCCGCGTGCGGGGGCTAGCACCGTTCGAACGATCACCTCGAGTCGCGACTGCGGTGCCGCAACCACCGACCACGATGGAAATACAGCTCTGGACGACGGAAACGTGATCGACCAGGACGTTCGCTGGGGGGTGGCCGCTGTCTGCGTCACAACGACGGTGGGTTCCAGCGTTCGAAGCACGGATTGCAATGCGGCCGCGCTCGACGTCACTGGTATGGTCACGTGCGCCGACGGCGGTGTTGTATCGACAACTTGAATCGTTGCCGCCGCGAATGGCCGGTCGGCGACGTAGTCTGTGGTCACCGAAGCGAGCGGAGCGTTCGTGTCCGTGTACGGCGAAGTCGGCGCGATGCAGTCCGGACATGCCGACAAACTCGGATTCGGATGATCGTTCCACAAGATGGTCACTTGCAAGGCCGGGTCGGCGTTGGTCAGGAAGACGACTGTCCACTGCGACGACTGCACACTTGCTGGAGTCCTCTCGACGCGAACAAGTCCAATCGTGGGCGCGAGTTCGTCCAGCGCGGCTTGGACGTGCGCTGCGGGCGCGCCAAACCACACTTGCTGCGTCGTGCCCGCCGCCGACTGCCCAGCGACGCGGATGCGAAACGTCCCAAAGGCCGGGACGGCATCGTAGCGAACGGTGAGCGTCAATTGCGAGTTCCATCGAGTACTCTGCTGGATCTCGCGAGTCGTCACGGTGGTGGCGTCCACCACGTCGAGTCGAGACTGGACCGGGCCATGCAGGCACGTGAACGTAATCCACCACGTGTACTCGTTGGAAGGCGTCGACGCGCCACCGCGATCCGTGCTGCGCGGTTGAGCAGCCACGTCCACGGACACGCCGACAGTGGCCATCGCTTCGAGTTGTCGCTTCAGTGCGGCGGCGGTCGCCGCCGATCGATCGGCGGCCAACGTCAACGTCGTTGTCGCCACATACCCGTGAAACGCAAATCGCACGCCCACCGTTATCGTGGACGCGGCAGATGTCCACGTTAGCGCGTGGATCGCGGGCTGCACTGGCGACTCGACAGTCCACTCTTGCACCCCCGGCACGCCAAACCAAATCGTGACGGGGTGGGGCGGGTCGGAACACACTGGCGCGGCCGGATCGCCAGACGAGACCGCCACGTACGTCGTCGACATCGTGGCGGACAGCGACGCGCCCAGGACATCGCGAAGCTCAGCCATCGACGTGTCAAACGCCAGCGGCGGGGTTTCGTCCGCCTGGCATGCCAACGAGAACGTACCTCCCACGGCATTGCACACAATGGTAGCATGCGGCAGGACGCTGGGCGACTCGAACGGAGTCGGGTCCACGAGCAGCGCCACGTGGTGGACTGGCGCGGGCTCAAACACGGACGCCACCGGCGTCACGGCGGCTCGTATGGTGTTGGAGACGCTCGTGACCGTCAATTGCTGCCGTGCGGCAGTTCGAACGACCCACGCGTGCTCGTCGGCCCGTGCAGCCGTCGTCGTGGCCGTGACGGTGTCGCATTGGCACCACGCCGACAAAAGCGTTGTCAATGCATGGTCCGACGACACCATCGCGGCGGCCGAGGTCGAAATGTCGTCGCCGAGGATAATCGTGGACGCTGTGGTCCATGGCACGGGGGACGCTTGTACGATGTCGTCTTGAAGAATCGCAACGCCTTTCAACGTTGCGTCGGCCGACACTTCGGCCGTCATCACCGTGCCCGTGTAGTCGACCAGCCACGTGCAGGCCATGGTCGGTTCCGCGCAGTCGACCGTCGTGACGTGGACGTCCTGCCGCGGCGTTAAACCAGCGTCCACGTCGGACACGACCGCCGCCAACGCGGATTCGACCGTCTCGGGATTCGAAACGATAGGGAGCCACGCGGTGGCCCGAAACGTGCCGCTCGACACCTCACGGACAAAGCGCCACGCGTCGGTCGGGTGGACACTCTGGCTGCCCATGTGGGTCGTGGTGACGCCAGCGGACGTGATGCCTGGCACGCAGTCCCAGCACGCTTGCCGACCAGCCCCTTGAAAGTACCGCGGCGCAACAACCACGCCACACGCCTTGGCCGAGTACACATTGGTCACAAACGACAGCTCGTACGATGTGGCGCTGACAACAGACACAACGACAACGTCGACGTCAGGGTGCAGCTGCACCGCTGCCTGGATTTGTGCACGCGTCGAGTGCAGAAACAGTTGTGACGTCGAGAACACGTCCCGACGTGGGTTGCCGACGCTATTGCAATCGCCATCCACTTGGATATCAAGCACGTAGGACCCGTCCGCGACGCCGGCGAGGTCGACGAGCGTCGTGGGCGGTTCTTGCGACCCCTTGGTGCGGCTGGTCACGGCGACAGTGGCGCCGGGGGACATGTGGACGGCGGCGGCTTGCACCAGCGGAAGCGTCGACCCAGCCAGTGTATCAAACGTGATGGACCACGTCACGCTGCCGAGCGAATCCGTCGGAAGAAGCTTGGACACGTGGACGCGACCGGCGTTGGTCCACGAGTCGGTAAGTGCCCTGGCAAGGTCGCCCGGATCGACGTCGTGCTTCAAGTCGACGATCGCGGTGGAGGTCATGCCAAGCGCCGCAAACACCAACTCGACAACAGCTTCATCCACAGCGGTGGGTGCAGTCGCCACGATAGCAATGTGCTGCACTTCTTTGGCGAATGGCACACCGACTTGTACGACGTGGCGTCGCGACGGAGTTCGAGCGATGGTCAGAGTTTGCTCAAACGCTAGGGTCTCCACGGCCAACGCATCCGTTTGTCGTGGCACGGAAAACCCCACGGATCCCGCTCGAGTCGTCTGAATCGTAAATGGCGTCGACGATAGCCACCGCGGCATGAATGGCGTGGCTAACGTCGCGTCCGGGACGATTAGCGGCGCCAACGGAGTGTCGAAGACATGGTTGGCAGCGGTCGATTGCACCGGCGGTGGCGAAGCGACCACAGCGAATGATGCGGCAACTGTAGCAGGACCAGGCTGGCCACACCCTCCGCTGTCCGATACTGTCATGTGCAGAGTTGCATTGGCCGATCCACACACCAGTACATGGGGTAGGAAGTCGTTTAGTGCTGAGATGCTGCCTCGGAGTTGGACGGAGGCCGACTCGACGTGCGTCGCGTTGGTTCTGCAAGTGCCGCTACGAGTCGCCGCGTCGACGACGGCGACGAGTTTCCCCACGGCAAATGTGCGATCGATAGCCATCTGCACACTGCTCGACGCGGCTGCGTCGAGTGACGTGATGTCCAGAACAATGGAAAGCTGGCCACCGCCAGGCACCTCATCGACGTCGATGTCGGCAACGACAATGTCGGGTGGAAAGCGCGCGCATGACATGGAATCGCTAGTGTAGGTGAGAGTCAAGGAAGTCGGCACGCCATTCAAGGTTGGCGGGTCGTTGACAGCGGCGACGGAGACGGGCCAGTCCAACGTGGCAGCGCCGATGTCCCATGGTGGTGTCCTGTTGTTCTGGATCGAGCTGCACGATGGAAGAGGCAACGAAGACAACAGCGCGGACTCGATGGCAGAGACGCGGATGCTCTCGAGGGACTGCTGGGGATGAAGGCATAATGGCCATGGCAATGTGGCTCCTGCCGCCCAGTCAAAGTTGTAGTTGGCATCAGGCAGGTACTCCATGCTACGAAATATGTCGTTGGCCGTCGAGAGCGCGGCTTCGAACAAAAGCAAGTGAACATGAGGCGGTGCCGTGAGCGATGCTGTAGCGGCAGGGACTGGAGCTGTGTTCAAGTCGCACAGAAGTCGCGATCGATTCCATGGGCCGTCCAGCGATCCAACGCGAAACGAGCCGTGCTGGGCTGTGATCTGTTCGCACCAAGATATACACATGTTGATCGACTCACCATATGCATCATGACGAGAAGCGTACCATAACGTAGATGGGAGTCGTTGCGGCCACGGTGGGCGCCAGTTGGATGTTTGACAGGGACTTCGCGGTATCTTCCGTGCATGCCAAGTATGGGTCAACCTACAACGACGACTCTTGGTACAAGTTGACGGCATGGAATATATTAAGCACCGGCAGGAATTCTAGAGCGGACGAAGCTGCATGCTTCGCCCATGCCGCTACAAGCACAAGGAGCGGCAGGGGTCGCATGACCCGCGGTCGGATCGTGTATCGTTTTGGTGGAAGAAAGATCCCCTACCCGCAAATCGAGTTTCACGTTTTGCATTAAAATGTACCGCCTTGAGGTGCAACACACCATCGAAAACGCATTGATTTAGAATAAAAATCCATGGTGATTTAATATAGATATGACATTTTCAAAGCAAAAGAATACAATTTTCAGATATATACAAGTCAGCATTGCTTCAATTCAAGATAAATGTATCATATAAATCTAAAATTTCTATTCTTACTAGGTACAACCACATTGCACGGGCACCGCGTGCACCCGATTGTCGGAGAGGTGGACTGGTGTGCCGGTGCTGAGGCAACCTGCCATGCTCGGCGATGTCGACGCCGCGATCGATGATGGAGTACATGAGCAGCTCTATCACGAGTCCATGCATGCGGATCATCGATGACAGCACGCTCCTGAAGGTATGCGAGCCTGCTTGAGTGGCAACGTCATGGTTCTGGGCATTCTGTCGTTGTCGAACGCCAAGCGACGTGGACTCGCATTCAATGTCATGCATCTCGTACGCCGTGTCAACCTTGCGAGTGGTGTATGCACTCGTCAGCGCAGTTTGTATCACGATCGGGTCACCATGGTGTACGATCGCCCTCGCATGGCACGAGGCCGGGCATCTCACTCCCCGATGGCAGCACCATCCCCCCTCGACAACCAATTCCGTCCGCGCCCGTGTCAAAGATCTGCAACTACCAGACCTATCTACTGTCGCACCAGCACGGCTCCGAAGTCTGGTCAGGCTGGAAAGCACTCGCGAACGTTCGTTGCGCGTTCGACGACGGGAATGCCGTTGGTGGAATTCGGCTACGTGGTCGGATGTGGTTGCACACATGTCAAATGTCTTCTACAAAAACACAAGTAATTTTCCAGAAACGAGATATTTTGACCAGACCACGTACGCAAGCGACGAGTGATAGGGCCAGCGCTCGCACTCCAGCCTCTGATAACGAACACAGCCGACGTGACAGGGCGAGATGGGTCGGGAAAACTCCTCTGCACGATCGAGGGCAGCTGATACTCTTGATCGTCGCGACCTGGTCGAAATGCATTCCTTGTAAAATTTGATATTGCAATGAAAGAATGGGAGTTGCAGCGGGATGTCGGATGTGGTGAAAAGGACGAAATATTTGCAAAAAAATCGCCTTGGTGTTGGGAAAATGGACACGGTTCAAGACATGGTTGACGTGGCAACGGCGAACATGTTGGAAAAGGAATCCGCACACCACTGCTCCTTCCAAATGCATGGAACGCTTTCGCTGGTCGATCCATTCCTCGTGCGTCCCACTTCGTCCCGCGATAGTTGCAAACGGAGTGCATTTCACCAGCACGTGATGCCGTGGAAATGCGCATGGAAACCCGATAAACCTCTGAAACGCAATACCTGCGTTTTTCAATATACGCTCAAAACGTATTGAAATCAGACAAAATTCGTCGAGTATCATGGGCGGTCGCCAATGTCGCCGCGGGATCGGCGCATGGCTGGCGCATTCTCACTTCAAACACATTTCGACTCGATGGCCGGACCGACGCTGCTCCGCATCCTCGCGTGTGCCGCCACGTCCGCGGCCGTCCACGTCCAGGTGGACATACGCGCCGGCGCCGTCAAGTCCCGCGGTGTCAACCTTGGCGGTTGGTTGGTGGCCGAGCACTGGATGACTGCCGACGCGGGCATTTGGAACGGGTTGCCAGGGGACGTGACAGGCCAAGGTGAGTACGCTGTCATGCAAGCGCTCGGGCCATACGAAGGCAACGCACGTTTCAAACGGCACTGGGATACGTTCATCACCGAGGACGACATCAAGCAAATCGCGTCCGCCGCCAAGTTGAACACGGTGCGAGTCCCCGTCGGGTACTGGATCCAAGGATGTGGACATTTGACGGGCGCCCAGTGGGAATACGTACGTGTTGGTCCGACCGGTTCGTTCGACGTTGCTGATGGTGTCTACCTAGTGCAACATGTTTCCCAAAGGTGGCCTTGAATACCTGGATACACTCGTCCGAAGCTGGGCCAAGACGCACAACGTAGCCGTGCTCGCGAGCTTGCACGGGGCTCCAGGGTCACAAAACGGTCAGGACCACAGCGGCGCCATCTCGCCAGAGATTTGTTGGGCCAAATACCGTGAGAATGTCGTTGCCACGAGAACGTTCGCCCGGTTTCTGGCGGCGCGGTATGCAAACGACGTGGCGTTCCTGGGTCTGGGGCTTCTCAACGAGCCCGTGCCAGGATATACCGCCGCCAATCCAGGCGTCGACTTTGCCACGTTGAGCCAGTACTACCACGACGTGGTCGCCGACATTCGCGCGATTTCGAACGACATGCTCGTGGTCACGGCGCCGCTGTTGTACAACCAGGGTCCTGGTCCCGCCGCCGAAAACATGGAGTCGTTCGAACCATCCATGACGCATGCGTGGCACGACTGGCATCCGTATGTCATTTGGGGCTACGGCGACCTGTCCGAGCACGAGTTGATCACAGCCGCCGGCAAACGCAAGGCCGATGTCATCGCGTGGAAGGGCAAGCCGCTGTTCCTAGGCGAGTGGAGCCTCGTCACGCCGGGGGCGTCCTTCAGCGACATGTCGTCGCCGCTCTTTCAACAGTTTGCGACGACATATCTTGGCATGCTGCACGAGGCCAAGGGCGGTTGGACGTACTGGTCGTGGAAGAAAAGCGGCGACGATGTCGGCAACCGATACGACAAGTGGTCGCTGCGATCGATGCTCAACCTAGCCAACTCGGTACGCCCATCCCCACGTGCTCGAACGCTCCTTGACAACGCGCGTAGTTGCAGAAGCATCCTGACGAGCTCGATGCGATTGCCATCTACGGCAGCGACGGACAAAGTCTGACCACAAAGCCAACGTGGCGGCTAGTCAACGACTTGACGTGGATCATGCAGAATGGCCGCGCTAGTGAGTGGTGGTACAACCCCACGACGAAAACCCTCCGCAGCAATCGCGACGACGGCCCGTGCTTGACTGCTGTCCACTCTGCCTACGTGCAAGGGTGGGCATGTGGCTCGGGTCGCGACCAGCAGCAATGGCTCGTTGATTCGGATCGCATCCGCCTCGCCGGGACGTTCCCGCCGCTCTGTCTCGCCTCCAACCTGACATTGTCGCCGTGCGTCGGCAACGAACCAACGCAGCGTTTTGCAATCGGCCGCCAACACGTCGCGATCAAGCGGCGCCATGGCCCGTCGGTGTGGTTTCGAGCCGCCGCCGGCCAAGTCGCGGCGGTGAGTGCGCCGCCGCCGGAGTGGATCATCGACCATGGCAAACTGACCGTCCAGGATGCCGCGACCGGCATGTGCTTGGATGCGTTCCGCACCGACGGCAACGTGCACCTGTTTGAATGCAGCGACGAAAACGTCAACCAAAAGTGGCTGTACGATGCCCGAACTGCGCAGCTCCGCCACGCGACCCACGTCGGGTTTTGCCTGGACGTGTTTGACCGCCTGGACGGAACGATGGGGTCTCACTTGTATGGGTGCCATGACGTCGACGACGTCGACATTTGGAACCAGCAATTCGACTTGGTCCCGATCAAGACAACGTCGCCCGCGGCCGCCTAACGCGCCGTGTGAGGGCACCCGGTGGCCGAGATGTAGACGAGTCCATGTAGTGTGTGGTGCGTGTTGTTGAGCTGTCTTGAGGCATTAAAAGGATTTTTGCGGCAGGTTGGGAGGATGCACATAGACCCGAGCTCCGTTTTGTCTGCCAACTTGTGGCTGCTGGAGTGGTTGGCATGAACGAGTGAGTACTAGCAACACACACACGGGCTCGAGATGCATCGTATCTCGACGATGCGTTGTGCTGGAGAGTGTGGCGGTGCAGCGGCCGTCGTGCTGTTCGCGATGCCTCGACCGAGCTCAGGGATCGGCGCCACGAACGAGACGAGGACGTCGCACCACCATACTGGTTGAATTGCGCTTTTCGACGCCGTCGGGCTCTCGCCAACCTCACGCGCCTACAGTTCGCCACTCAGTCGATGCCTCGACCACGGGACAATTGCACTGCAGCGCTGACGTTTGTGCCCCGTCACGCGGGAATCGAGTCGTGCCGTTGGAGGTTTGCATCGTCAACGCCACGTTCGTCCACATCCGACGCGGCATCCGCCGCCCCCAATTTTCTCCATGTGTCCAGGTGGTTGCTGCGTTTTCGCAAAGACATGAGCGACGTGTACGTGTTGGACATGTTAGATTGTGGGGCGCTTGACCTTTTTCGAGGCGGCGGCGCTAGCGCCGCTTGGTTTCGGCCGCTTGTTTCTGCCTTTGTCGCTCATTCGCTTGGCTAAACTTGCTTTGCCTTCTTCGCCCTTGCTCCAGTACTGGCCGTTCGTCTGTCGGAAGCTTGCTTTGGGGGCGCCCGTGTCCAAGTCGATGAGGACCATGCGATTCCCAATCTAACGTGCGGTCAGTGGAGAGACCGCTTGTCGTGCGCCGACACTACCTTCATCCCGCTCCGCTTGGCGGCCTTGGCCGCGGATGCTTCATCTGAAAACTCAACGTATCCGAATCCTTTGAGCTTCTTCGTATGGCCCCACATCGGAAGGCGAACACTGGCTATGGCGCCGCACGACCTGACGAAACCACATGAGCGATGGGGAGTTGGCGTCCGTCGTACTCCAACGCGGACTTCACGGTCTCTTCGTCAATGTCGTACGGAAGCTGCTTAATGTACACGGTGCGGCAGCCTTTGGTGGCCTTGATGTGCTTGCGGTTTTGCACGGCTACGTTCGGGTGGCACATGGGTTACCTCTTCCAACTATCTCGGGTTACCTTGTTCGATGCCGCGGGGGATTTCTGCCGGTTTGACGGTCAAGTATCGCTTCATCATGTACTTGCCATCGAGCGCCAGCGCCTTGGCAGCCGCCTTGTCCGTGTCGAACACGACGTGTGCATATCCTCGAGGTTTGCCAGAGTCCTGATACCGTGGCAGTCGGACCTCCTTAACTGCGCCGCACTCGGCGAAATGAGATACGATGGCGCTTTCGTCGGCGTCATACGAGATGCCCTCCACGTACACAGTAGCACGGGTCTTGTCGGTGGCATCTTGTTCGAGTTGGGCAGTGTCCACGGCTGTCTCGTCTGCTTCTTCCTCGTCAGAGCTTGATTCGTCGTCCGAGTTTGCGGAAACTTTTCCCTTCGAGGTGTGTGTCTTGTTGTTCTTGGAGGCCGCAGGGGCGGGCTGCTTGAAGAAAGCCTGCTCGTCGCCGCTGCTGCTTCCGCTGTCCGAGTCGCTCATGGTGAACGTTTGGGCATTGGATCGATGGGGTGTTTGAAATCGACCAATCACAGACGCGCCAAGATTATTGGCGCATGGCCATCGATGGGTTAAATGCGTCTTATAGTTTAACCTGTCTCATCACCTTGTGCCGACACCGTCGGTGCGTGGCGGACGATGAGGGATACCAACGACATGACAAGTGGTTCTTGCAAGGCTCGCATTGAAAATGGCGTACAAGAGCAAGAGCGCAGGTACGCAGTCGTTGAACTGGTGCTTCTGGTGGGTTGGAGGTAGTACAGCTGCGGACAACGTTTGGAACATGGGTAGGCAATTTAAACGTACTTCAATGCGGGTTTCACCACGTTTTACTGGGTTTTGACAAGAAACAAAATAAATCTGTCGGACACTGTGTTCCATGGCCCTCATTTTTTTCTGGACGTCATCTTTCCGACAAAGTATTTCATGCGTGTTCAAGGCCTCTATCGACCTGGTACTTCTCCGAAGGGGTCCTGTGTTTTAAAATAGACAGGCTGTATATGGATGTGCCATGTAATTTAATTCCAAGCGATGACCGCAGCGTGTGTCAAGTGGCTGCGACCGTCCCATTGAGAGATTTTTCCCTGCCGTTCATCACTCATCATGCTGGCGTTCCGCTCCCTCAGCAAGCTCCGCATGGCGCGGTCGTCCGCCGCGGCTTCATTCAGCTCGTCTGCCACGGAATATGACGTGGTCGTCGTGGGTGGAGGCCCCGGTGGGTACGTCGCGGCGATCAAGGCCGCGCAATTGGGCCTCAAGACCGCCTGTGTCGAAGCGCGCGGCACGTTGGGTGGCACGTGCTTAAACGTGGGGTGCATTCCGTCCAAGGCGTTGTTGCACGGCACGCACTTGTACCATGCCGCGCAGCATGACTTTAAGAGCGTCGGTATCAAAGTCGACAACGTCAGCATCGACTTTAACCAGTTGATGAAGTCCAAGGAAAAAACGGTCAAGATCCTCACGGGCGGCATTGAAGGCTTGTTCAAGAAGAACAAGGTCGACTACGTCAAGGGATTCGGGAAGATTGTGGCCAAGGGCCAACTCAGCGTCGCGCTGAACGGTGGTGGCAACCAAACCCTGCACACCAAGAACATCTTGATCGCGACCGGGTCGGAAGTGACCCCGTTGCCGCCCGTCCCTGTCGACAACGAAGGCGGGAAGATCGTTGACTCGACCGGTGCGTTGTCGTTGAAACGCATCCCCAACCACTTGGTTGTGGTCGGCGGTGGCGTCATTGGTCTGGAAATGGGGTCGGTGTACGGTCGCCTCGGTTCTAAGATCACGGTCGTCGAGTACGCCGACAAGATTTGCCCGACGATGGACCACGAACTCACCAAGGAGTTCCAGAAGCTGTTGACGAAGCAAGGCATGACGTTCAAGCTGGGCCAAAAGGTCACGGCGTCCAAAGTCGACGGCGATACCGTCACGTTGACGGTGGAACCTGCCGCCGGCGGCGACGCGACCACGATCGAAGCGGACTGCGTGTTGGTCGCGACGGGCCGCCGCCCGTACACGGCAGGCTTGGGCTTGGAGGACATGGGCATTCAAACCGACCGCTTTGGCCGCATCAAGGTCAACTTGAGCAACTTCCAGACCAACGTTGACGGCATCTACGCAATTGGCGACGTGATTGAAGGCGCCATGTTGGCCCACAAGGCCGAAGAAGAAGGCATTGCGGTTGTCGAGACGATTGCCGGCAAGCACGGCCACGTCAACTACGACGCGATTCCGGGGGTTATCTACACGTTCCCGGAAGTCGCGAGCGTCGGGAAGACGGAGGAAGAGCTCAAGGCCGCCAACGTCGCGTACAACGTGGGCAAGTTCCCGATGATGGCCAACTCGCGCGCGCGCGCCGTCGGCGAAACCGACGGGTTTGTCAAGGTGCTGGCCGCCAAGGACGACGACAAGATCCTCGGCATCCACATCATTGCGTCCAACGCGGGCGAAATGATCTCGGAAGGCGTCCTCGGCATCGAGTACGGCGCATCCGCCGAAGACATTGGCCGAACGTGCCACGCACACCCGACCTTGAGCGAAGCGTTCAAGGAAGCGTGCAATGCCGCGTACGACAAGCCCATCAACTTTTAAGCGCACGATGCTCGCATAATACCAATATCACCAGTTCATCGACCGTGCGCACCACTCGACGATGGACGCCTTCATCGCCACATTAAAAACGGGGGCCACCATCGACACCCGCGCCAGCCTTCGCGTGCCTGGCGGATGGAAGCCCCGGTGCGGCGGCGATCGCACCTTTTTCGCACGGGAGACTGGTCAACATAAAGAGAGAGAGAGCGCGCGATCGCATGCCGTGGCATGGCCAAGGGATCGTGTTCGTGTGGAAGCGACCAAGAGTACAGGCGCACGACTCCGCGCCGCCCATCCCTGTTGGTTGCGTGGCTGGGGTACCCATGAGCCGGCGCACAGCACGCCATCTTCTCAAGGCAGCGTCTTGCAATCGAGACCGCTGCGCCACACGTTCAACCTGATGCGCCGCAAGTGGCGGTGCATCGTCGAAGGGTGTGGTGGGAGGTCAGCCCGTTCAGATGGAGGGCGCAACTGCGTCGATGGCGAGGCAGATGACGTGCTCTTTCGCGATCGCAGGCGCACCTACTGGTCGAGATGCGCATCGTGGGCGGATTCTAGGTGCGGCGGGCGGTCGGGGTGATCGATCGAAGAGATATGGCACATCGATCTGTATGAAAAACTATATACGTGCTTCACAACCACCACGTTAAAGGACGACGCACGAGGCGTCGGCGTCGACGGCGAGGAGGCCCGACTCGCGCTCGATTTCGCGGATGAGGTAGGTAAAGACTTCGTCTACGCAGCACACATGAACACTCAGCCACACGATGCAACGACGTACTGATGTTCTCGTTCTGCTTGGCCGAGCACTCGGTGAAAGGGCAGCCCCATTGCCGCGCGGCGTGCTGGCCCTCTTCCAGCGACACCTGGCGATTGCATTCGAGATCGGACATGCTGCCCACTAACACGCGCGGGGGTTCGGACCCAAGGAGGTTGACAAGCTTGTCGTTGATCAGTTTGAGCTTCTCAAACGATGTGCGAGAGCAAATCGAGTACACAAGCACGTAGCCGTGGACCCCAACGGACGCAGCTTGTGAAAAGTGCGAGTATTCGTCCTGGAGCGATAGCATCAGACACGATGGGGCGCGACGTCGTGTCGGCTTACCATGCCAGCTGTGTCAACAATGTCGGTGACAAAGTGCGCGTGCTTGAACCGCACCGTCTTGTGAAATGTGTTCTCGATTGTCGGGTCGTAGTTCTCGACAAAGCGATTCTCGACGAAGCACGTCGTCAGGGATGACTTGCCCACGCCGGGGCACCCCAGGACCGTCAACTTGCGCTGCACTTCCACGGGCGGCGGCGCCATCTCGTTGACTTCCGGCGGCAGGGAAAACAAATGCGGCAATTGATGCACCTGGGCCGCCTTTGCCGTTACCTATGTAGTATACAAACATCAAGTGTATCGTGCCCACGGGCTCCTTTACAAACTTCAAGTGTGATGCAACGATCGCACATCGGTCGAAATATCCGACGGGACGATTCATATTTTGTGTAGTTATGTACCTCCCGTCATATTATTGCTGGCTGTGGATTCATATGTTATGGTGTATGATGGAGGTTGTAGGTACAAGACAACGAGAAATATACAATCTAGACGTTGCAGCATAAGTACTCCAGGAATTATCGAGAAATATCATGAAAGTTATTTTTCAAATACATAGTCCAGACAATATGGCAAGACTTTGGCAAGAAGTGTCATAAAAAATATTTTGACGCAGAATTTGAACGATGCGGCTCATTCGACTCTTCCCACGACATTGTCGATGTAAGCGAGCGCCGCGGCGGGAGCCCACGATTGCAGGCGGCCATTCTTATGCTCAAAGAAGCCACAGTGACTTCCATGGGACGTGAACGCGAGCATGAGGTGGGGGTTGCGGTCGACAATAGTCACATCAATGAGGCCTGGCCGATCGACCACCACGTGATTCTCTTGCATGCTCGTCAAGACACGTACGTGTGGGGCAGACAGGGTCGTCTTTCGCGCTGAGGAAGAGCGTTGGGACTGCGATCTTGGCCACGTCGCGCATCGGATCGCTTTTCTCCCAATATTTGGCGAGAGAGTCGAACTGGTGCAGCTTGATGTACACCGCTCGATCAAAGTCGGCCATGCACGTGGCAGAAGTCGCCGCGGACAAGTCAATGTGCTCCGCCAGGATCTCGTGATGCGGCGCCAGGAGGCGCTGCCAAGAACGAGTTCATCGTGAGATCATTCTGGGTCATCTTACCTGCAGGGACTTGGCCATCATGTAGTTGTAGATGGGATGTAACCCTCCCCGGTTGTGAAAATCTCGTGGGCTCGTCGAGCTCGCGTGAACAGTATAGTGGTTGTACCCTAACACGACTCGTCCAAATGCCAGCATGGGTGCTGGACGCGGTACCGGGAGACACGAGCACCCCGGCGGCCAGCTTGGAGCTCGCGCCGGTCTCTCCGAGGTACGAGCTGAGGAGACCAGCGCCTGCAGAGTACCCCACTCCTACATGCTGCCACGTCAATTCTTGAAGTTGGTTTGGCCGTACCAACGATCACGACACCTGGAAACGTCGTTTGAATGTGCGCAATGACGGTGTGCATGTCCTGTGTGCACCCAAACGCTTGCAACTTGGGTGTTGTGAGCTTGGTGTTACCGTGGCCGCGCTTATTGAACACTACTGCGCGGTACCCCGATGCCGTTGCCGCACGGCAGAACTCGCGCATATCTTGGCTGCAACCTGCATAAAGAGCATGTGGGGATGTGATGATGGCGGGACAAGTCGAAGGGTGCCAACCGGCCAGCGTATGCAGCACGAGGACGATCGGAGCCGACGACGGCAAGGTTGATGGAATCCAGTCCAGTGCGACTTGGCCCCCGTCATCCATTCGCACGAGTTCTCGGTCATAAGCATGCTCCGTGGCTTGAGGGAGGAAGCAAAACATGAGAAGCTGGACGTGCGCGTTGGTGGCGAACCACGGCGGCACGTAGGCGTGGGTCAGTCCTGACTGCAGTCGACGTCAGTTCGGACTGATTCATAGTTCGCTCGCACCTCGGCAATGCGTCGGTGGAGAGCCGACGACGAGCTGAAGATGAACTCAATAGGGGTGTGTGCATCCGGTCGTAAGAGCCACATCGTGCTCAGGAAAGCGGCGGTCACAATCGCAACCACCGCCGCCGCGGCAGTAGTGGCCGACGCATCCGCCAACATTCCAAGTGCACACACACCACCATTATCCGGGTTATCCGGATACGAATGTCTTGGGGTGTGGTTCAACATGACGTGGCGCTACAAAAAGCACGTTTCACTGGCCATGACGTGGCATCGTCGCAGGACGAGGTCAGTACGCCCCAGACCAGATCGACGGCATTGTGCATCGAAGTCTCTTTTCCTCAAAACCACGAAGGCAACCCTGCGAAATGCGCGGCGACGTTGCATCGATGATGTCTCTGTGTTACACTTTGTCGCGATAGTGACAGCGTTCGAAGATCACATCGGTGCCAAGCAATCATGTTGGCTGGCACGTGGACGGGCGCCGCACTCGACGGGGTTCCAGGACATCTTGACACGTGGAATTGTTCAGGTTAATGACCATCGCGACGACCAGGTACGGGGAGAGCGTCAGACACCCCAACGACGTCGGCGGCCGAGTCCACAAAGCCTTGGGGAATGTTCGCACCAAAGTAGTACCGAATATTGGTCTGTCCAGCTGTGGCTCGGAGGTAGGCCAGGTATGCTGGCGTCAACTTGGCCAGGAACGATTTGGTCTCGAGGGTCGCTTTGTCTAGGTTGCCGTCGACATGAGCCGCCATCACCACGCATTTTGCTCTCGCGTTATTGTTCAACGTACAAAAAGTGGCGTCGGCTGTCTCCTTGGCGCGGCTCACAGTCATCTGGTCTGCCCACATGCCGACGAGTGAAGGCTCGAAAGCATCGCGCGTCCAAGTTTACCTTGAATGCGAGATATGTGCTGCGATGCCAGCACTTGCTCGTGCAGTTTCTCCATGTGGATGAGGCTCAGCGCCGCAGCCTTTTCGCTTGCCAAGACGGCAGTGCGGAAGTCGGTTTCGGCTTGCTTCAGGACGTTTCGCTGCGCCTGGGTGGCCAACTAGACAGCAGCATGGGCACTCTGGCGCAGCGCGGGGATCAAATGTCGCACCAGGAGCTTGGCCTTTTCCTGATCCACGAGTTCGTAAGTATCCCGGAGTGCCTCTGGGACGTGTGGCTTGGTCAGGCGAATGGAAATGATGTCAAGCCCGGGAGCCCACACCGCAAGCAGTGCAGACATGCGCGCTTGCAAGAGCTCGTCGAGCTGGTCAAAGTGCGAAATGTAAACTTGATCGAGCGAGAATTTTGAACAGAGCAAATTGATCTCGTGGTAAGTGACGTCTTCGATCCACAGCTTCTCAAAGCGCATGCTGTAGTTTCGCACGGTGCTGGACACGACGTATGAGGGCATTCATGGGAGGACGACGACGACGACGACAGTCGTACTCGAGGACGAACGCAGAACGCAAACGATGGACAATCTCGACTTGATGGAACCGAATGAGCACCCCGCTGGCTGTGCCACACGGAACGTCATGGACAACAGTCCTACGAGCATGGCGCATGAGGCGACCGCGTCGATGAAGGTCGTCGCGCAGCGACAGCAGTACGTTTTGAAGGACACTATTCGAGTCGACCGCGTCAGCGTGCTCATGGGAGTGGAGGCGGGACACACCGACCTTGGACGTTGGAGTGCGTGGTCAAGATCGGCCACTGCAAATGGTACCCTGGTGTGGACGTCACGTTGAGAAGTCTGCCGCCTCTCCAGTATACCCCAACGGAGCCTTCTTCGATGCGATGCAGGGGTTTCTGGCTGATGAGGGCCAAGAGCACCCCTACCAGAGCCACCACGACATCCATGCCCATCGCCATGGTCAAAGATTTGTCGAATACAGCTCCAATTCCACAGGTCCAACAAATCAGCCAATGAAAGAGTCGATTCTGAAATGAATAATTTGGATTGGATAGTTTTTCTCATAGAAACCAATAATTTTGATTTCTGTCATGTGATTGGTCCAAATTGTAGCACGTTTACGAACGAGGTCAATAATCGCAATAAGAGCGGACGTATCGCGCCGCTGTGACCCCTGCGCTAGGACAGAGCGCACCGGCGTTCTCTAACGGCGTCGCTGCAGTCGCAAATAATCCCTTTGCTTGTTTTGTATGCATGGCCTCATATACGCAGCAGATCAGTGGTCGTGCTATGCCAGTCCAATTCAGTACGTCAAGGTCAAAATGGCAGCACAGCGGGGGGGAGGCAAGTGGGGGGTTCGGTGAAGCACCATCGATTGAAATGGCTTGCTATAGTGCTGCGCTGCAGCATGGTTGCATTTGGGGGCGACATTACGACAGAGTTTTCCATGGCCCCCAACCTTGCGGTCGCGACGGCGCCAGCAGGGGGAGATGCCCAGGTGCGCGGTTGGCTCCCTTGTGGAAATGGTCCTTGCGACAAACTCATCGAGTGCCCCACCTCAGCCCACCATCAGTGCTACACTTGTCAAGTGTCTATCGGGCGTACCCCCCCCCGCCAGTCAGCCATGCGCTTATATCTATGAACGGACATCATGTCGACCGTAGTCCTGATGGCTGGGGCGGGCAGAGCGGTGATTCCGCATCTCACGAACCACACCAACGCGACCACACCGCTACGTCCATCTGTGCCGTGTGTGGGGCGGGTATGGACCCTCCCGGAGCTCTCTACCGACGGGAATCGCCGCGCCCGCGGTGGCAGCACCCATCCTGCGGCCGGACTTCATCGAGTGGATCCGCACTTACCATAGTCGTACCTAGTGTCATCGTTCTGGGGATACCAGTGATCGACCGACCCATCGGCGCGGAAGAAGGATCATGTGGGTCCGCCATCTCGACGAGGACTCGACGCGGTTCTACTACCACAACGCCAAGACCGGAGAGACGTCGTGGACGAAACCAGAGGGCTACACAGAGAAGAACGAGCAGGACAGCAACAACACAAACGACGCGTCCGACGACGACGAGTCGCACGTCGACACAAAGCGGCAGCGCACGGCGGGCGACAATGCAGAAGAGAACCAAGACGGCGACGATGGCGCCCTGTGGGTCAAGTACATTGACCCAGTGTCGAAGAAACCATACTACTCGGACATGAACTCGGGGCGCACGCGATGGGAGCAACCGGCGTTTTACACGTCCGACCAAGGCGAAGATGACGACGAAGTTGAAGAGGACCAACTGGAAGAAGAGTATGCGTTCGGCGCAGTCGCCGCGCCTGCTTCTCCGAAAGCACCCTCTCCCAAAGCAGCACCACCACCATCGACCGAGACGCCGACGTTCCTCCGATATGTTGATGCCGCGACCAAAGTCCCGTACTACTTCAACACGGCAACCAAGGAAACGACGTGGGACGTGCCTCCCGACGGCTCCATCGTTCAAGATGGCACGACAGCTTCCACCACGACGGACTCCGATACCTCGACGAGTGCTGGCAGCGCCAAGTACCAAGAATGGCTCAACAAAGCGTCCACTGTGCCGACTGCAACCCGCGCAGCCGCCGCGGCCGCATCCTCTCGCAATGCTGCCGACCCGGTATCACGTCTCAACTCCATCTTGGGCGGGTCCTCCGCCGGCAGCGCGTTCCGCTGGCAACAGCATTACGACCCCAAAACCCAGCGCTACTACTACTTTGACACGAAGACCAACACAACGCAATGGGAGCCTCCTTCGGACGGATCCGCCGTCGCCGCTGCTGTCGGGGTAAGCATCGTCCTTGTTTTCTCGCGACACTAAGTGTTCCGTAGGGCGCGGACTGGGTCCCGGCGACGACCGACGCCGACGCATCGGTCGTGTCGGCGCAGAGCGACTACACCGTCGCGGCGCACATGAACTTGCTCAACGGGCGGTTCAGCGGCGCGTCGGGGGACCAGTACTTTCACAAGCAAAACATCCCGACGGACAAAGCAGGGCGGCAGCTCGCCAACTTCTTCGACTTGACGGCGTTCGAGGCGAATCGCGCCGAAGCGAAGCGAATGAAGGAAGCGCTCAAGACGAAAAACATCGACTGGAAAAAGTACAACGAGGAGAAGAAGCGCAAGCGGCACCGCGTGCGCAACAAGTGGATGTATGAGGACTAAGACACACGTCTGTCGAGCTGTCGCCTCGCGGATCGCATTCAAAAAACGCAGCGCATGCAGACGACGGCGCCAGGTCCTCAACGCACAAAGTTGCGATTGCAGAATGTAGGTTCCTTGTGGGGAGGGAAGTGCAGAATGGTGGTATTACCCTGGTGTTGAAGTGGTTTAAAGTGTAGGGAGGTGATCTTTTTCAGATTGTTGGTTCATCGCTCGGCCGCTGGGTGCATATCTGACCCCAGCATGATGGTCAAAAGAGGTACAGAATGATGGTATTCGTTGCCGTTGAATGGGAGCGATGGTGGTTCTTTTTCCGAATGTTGGTGCATTGCATTTGTCGAGATGGCAACGTCGCGGGTCCATGCGGCAACATGGGTCGCGGTGGGCGTCGTGGCGGCGGCAATAGTTTTGTATACGACAAGGAAAGCTTCGTCCGATGGTGATGGCGACCACTACTCCAGCAAGGATATCTCGTCGTTGTCGTCGGTGAGCGATGTCGACAAGTCGACGGAGCAACGTCAGTCGTCCGCTGCAGCGGCGCCGCCGCAATTGTCGTTCAACGACATGTACAATCTTGGGAAGCGCCTTGGGTCGGGTGCGTTTGCAGTCGTCCGCGAGGGCGTGCACAAAGGAACGGGGTCCAAGTATGCGATCAAGTGCATCCAGACGTCGTCGCTGTCGACCGCAGACGTCCAGGGACTTCGCCAAGAAATCGCCATCTTGAAACAGGTACGTCATGTCGATGGGTGCATGCTCCACACCGTGCGCTGCTGCAGTTGAGTCATCCGAACATCATGTCGCTGCATGACGTGATCGAAGAGCCGGGCATGACGTACCTCGTGACCGAGTTCATCGCGGGCGGCGAATTGTTCGACCGCATCGTCGAAAAGGTGAGTACATGATCTGGCACTTGTCTCGACCGTCCTGTCATGCCACAGACGTTCTACTCTGAAAACGAGGCGCGGGACCTCGTGCGCGTCCTGCTCGTCGCGATCAAGTACTGCCACGATCACAATGTTGTCCATCGCGACCTCAAGGTCTTGACACGATCGGGGTCATTTCGTCTCATACTAGCACCTCTAGCCAGAGAACCTTCTCCTGACCAGCCATGGCGACGACGCGTCGATCAAGTTGGCCGACTTTGGCTTTGCCAAGCTCCACGGCGTCGACGGCCTCACAACGGCCTGTGGGACTCCAGGGTATACAAGAGCGATTTAGCTTGACGTCGTCATGCGTTGGTGGGCAGGTACATCGCGCCTGAGATCCTGCAGGGTGCCGCGTACGGCAAAGCGGTCGACATTTGGAGCATCGGTGTCATCACGTTCATCTTGCTGTGCGGGTACCCGCCATTCCACGACGACAACCCAAAGCACCTTTTTGCCGCGATCAAGGCGGGGTCGTACAAATTTGAGTCGCCGTACTGGGACGGCATCTCGGCGACGGCTAAATTGTTTATCGCGGCGATGCTCGAAATTGACGTAGCTGCCCGCGCGACCGCCGACGACTTGCTTGCCCATGCCTGGATGGTCGACACCGACGTGTCGACGGCGCCGCTCGGCACCGTCATCGAAGAGCTCAAAAAGTTTAACCATCGCCGCAAGTTTAAGGCTGCTGTTCGGACGGTATTCCTGCCGTGCCTGGCTACATCGTCCATGTGATGATGAGGTCTGTAGGTTCAAATGACTGCCGCGCTCGCCAAAGGCGTCGCCAGTGTCAAGTCGGTTGCCGAGTCGTCGTCGTGACGGTAGCGCGCTAGCTTTCGTGCAGCAACGAGTTTGTAGAAATGGCACACGATTGAATCGAGTGCGCGACGTGTTTTCGTGTGCCGAGCCCCGTGGGCAACCGTCGTCCCGCGCTAGGATAGCTCGGCATGCCCATCCGCGCAGGCCGGGCTAGCCCACATGTAGCTACTACATTCGTACTCATGTACAGCACGCATGACGCCGCTATAAACAGACCGCCGTGGTTGTATTTTTAGCGCTGACGCCATCGTGCGAATCGCTAGTACGAACGATAACAAGAGTTGACGGGTGCCGTGGATGTCGACGCCGGCGGCGGCGTGTGCCGGTGGTCACCCACCACAGGAAGACTTGTGGATGCCGCCGCCAGATCCGAATGACGCGCCGTTGACGCCATCCCCAGCCACGCCATCCCTCGACCTGCCAAACGCGGCCGACGTGTCCTCGGCCCCGCCACCCCACGCCACCCCAACAAAACGACCCTCCACACCCGACAACCCCATCGAAGCCGCGCCCGAGTTCCGTGGCACCATCGTCACCAACTACCCCATCCTGCCACACATCCACGCAACGTACACGTTTGGTCCGTCGATTGGCCATGGAGCGCACTCGGTCGTGTACGCCGGCCTGGACAAGACGAACGGATGTGCCGTCGCGATCAAGGCCATCTCGCGCCACCACCTGGACCAGTTTTACCTGGACGCGTTGGGCCACGAAATCGAATTCCTCCACCAGGTACTGTGTGTGTGTGTGCATGTGTCCGTCCGTGCTGACGACGACGCTGGTGCGGCTTTTGTAGCTCCGCCACCACCCGCACATCGTCACACTGCACGCCGTGTACGCTGACGCAGACCAGTACTATCTTGTCACCGAGTACCTGGCAGGGGGCGAGCTCTTTGACCGCATCGTCGAGCAGGTCCGTGGCACCGCCGTCGGACGCGACGTGCGCGTCTTGATCTGGGGGACATATTGCCACAGGAGTACTACAGCGAAAGCGAAGCGCGGACGATCGTGCGGCTGATTCTCCAAGCGCTCAAGCATTGCCATGACCACGATATCGTGCATCGCGACCTCAAGGTACACACACACACGTTTCCGCCGACGGCCGCACCCCACTCCCCCGTAGCCGGAAAACATTTTTTTGGGGTCGGCGACCGACCACACGTCGGTCAAGATCGGCGACTTTGGATATGCCGCGACCGCGACCGACCTCACGTTGACGACGTCGTGCGGCACGCCAAGCTATGTCGCGCCCGAGATCTTGCTGCATCTTCCGTATGGCAAGCCCGTCGACGTGTGGAGCGCGGGGGTGATTACGTTCATCCTCTTGGCGGGGTACATGCCGTTCCACGGCACCACCCAAGTCGAGCTCTTTGCACGCATCAAAACCGCCGACTACGACTGCCCGGACGACTTGTCCGCGGACGCCCAGGACTTCCTGACCAAGATGCTCGTCGCCGCGCCGTCGGAGCGGTACACGGTCGACCAGCTCCTGAGCCACGTGTGGATTACCGGGTCCGTTGTCCCGACGTACCCGCTCGCCAAGACCCGCGACGAGCTCCGACGATTCAATGTCCGGCGAAAGCTCCGAGCGTCTGTCCGCGCGGTACGTTTTCGATTGCCTATCGTCGTGCGGTGGTCGATCGCGTGGCTAGGTCCAAGCCACCGATACGTTCGCGAAGGTCCACAAGGTGCACACGGACGGAGTAGACGACTGCGTGGATCACCACGCGGCGTTCCTCGAGCTTCCGACAACTTTCGTCGTTTCAAAGGACACCACGCCCCACCTGCCGTCCGCGCGAAGTTGGTTTCGATCGATGCGGGTGCATCCCAACTGCTAACACGTGCCGTGTGCCTCATATGTACGTGACGTCGCCGCACAAAGGCATCGCCGGGGCTGCGAGCGGCCAACCGTCTCGTAAGCCACTCGCTTGGGTGCACAGCCACAGGAGCATTCGAGTTGTCGTGATGGCCATCTATGTAGCTCGCACCAGGACGCGCGACTTTCGATGCGACCTCGTCAAACGACATGGAGCGAGGTTGGTGGACTGGAAACGTTCGCCATGTCGGATGACGTGGCGTGATCGCAGCGCTGCAAGCGCTGTGCATCCACGCAACGGATGCAGCAATCCATTCCACACGTCTGGGCGCCCGACCGATGCGGATCAACCCCGCGCGACGCGTCGGTAGTCAAGGGTAGTCAAGCCGAGTAGGTTGACATGGCCGACCATACCCGTCGAGTTGGGAGCGGCGCGATGGACGCTGGAGGGGCGGCAGCCACCACGCATCGTATTGCTAGTCAGCCGATTCCTGCGTTCTGGTGCTGCCACGTCACGCGTCCACCACCTCGAAAAAGTCGGTCAATATAATTAGAGGGATTCTTAAAAACGTTCGTTCATTCGAGTCGCGACGTTCTTCATCTTGTTGTACACTTTGCCGGGCGGAGCGCCCATGATGAGGGAGCAGATCGCGTCCCGCGCGAGTTTGATGTTGGAGAACGAGCCAAGGATGTGCACCTTTTGGTCGGCGAGCACGACCCGCGTCCGCGTGGCGTTCTCAATCGCGTACTTGGTTTTGCCGTCCTGGCCGGCAAGACGGCCGATCGCGCGACTCAAGTGGTCGCCCTTGAGCATCTTCACGTCGGTGACTTCGAACGTGTCGACAAACAAGTCTTCGAGACGAAGGAGTGCGACAGCGTCCTGCACTTCGAATCCCATCATGTAGGCCTGGACGAAATCAGCACCCTTTTGCAGCGCGCCCGCGTCGTCCGTGAACGGTCCGTTCTTGAGCTCGACGCATCGAGTCTTCATGTTCATGCGGACCTGGAGCTTCAAGTGTTCCACAAGAGGTTTCATGATGTTGGGCCAGTCGTTCTTCAACGGCGTGTACCGGTGGGCAGGCACACGGACGCGGCGAAAATCGTCTTTGCCACCGGCCAACTCTTGCGCGCTCAACGCAGGAAACGATGGCGCGACGTCCATGTCGTTGTCGTCGGCCGCGGCATGCGCCTGCACCTCTTCCGAGCTCAACACTACTTCGTCGACGTGCATGTCCGCATCAACGTCCATCTTGCTGCTCTGCCGATGGGATAATGATGTTGAAATTCCTTTTCTCGTCTTCCAATGGCTCGAACTCGTCCGTGATTGGCAGGTTTCGAACACGTTTGAAACACATTGGGCATTTGAATATCTTGATATTTGTATGAAAGGGCCATTCGAAGTCGTTTCGAACGTTTGGCGGAGTTGCAGCACAATCCAGGTACATTTCCCGTCGCCTGTTGATTGGTGAAAATGCCGATGCGATCTAATTGGCTGAAATTCCACATGGGCTTGGGTATTTAAAAAGGATTTCAAACCATGGGGGTGGAGGTCCGCTTTCGAAGGAACGTCTTGCCCCTCTCGTTCTCCATGCGTCGCAGATGGGGCTCCAGTGGATCCGACCCTGTCGACCAGCTGTCGCGTGAGTGTACCTGATGCCTGGGGAAGGAGATGGGATCGACAGGGCGCCTTATTTTAAAACAAACACGTTGGAAACGTTTGAAACGAGTTTGATACGGTTTCGTTGTGTTTAAAATCGTGTCCAAAGCACAGATCCATTGATGTCTCGAGCAACCCCAAGCTGGCGAGAGTCGTTGCGACGGTGGCGCCTTCCACGCGGGGTGTTGCTGCTTGTGATGATGATTCTTCTTACCAGCAGCGTCCTCCATCTAGCAGGCGCTTTGGATGAAGGCACGCCGGCCAACCGTCGTGCAAAAAAGTCGTCGTGGGACGTGGCGACGGCGAAACTCATGTCCACAGCAAAGAAGAGCTTGGCCGCCGTTTCCACGGGCTGGGAATGGCTGGGGTACGTGAGTGGGTTTGGCGAGCAGTGCAGCTTTGTGAACCAACCCTCCTCGGCCGTGCGAAAACATTTGACGACGCATCTGAAAGCGCAAGACCATGCCATCCATGCGATCGTGGCAGCGATCGAAGCATGGGAGTTTTCGTACGCAACGCAGCATTCCACACTGTCGTCATGTCAAGCGCTGCGTAGGCGTACGAATGCCAAAGATCACGCCCCACTCGTGCTGGCCATCACGGGGCCCACGGGCACGGGCAAGACGGAAACGTCCCACTTGCTCGCGGAAGCGCTGTTCAAGTGGACCAAGCGGCTCGACCATAGCGACAAAGTCACGCCGTCCGGTCTGCTTGTGTTTCGGTAACGTGCATGCATCGTGTGCAAAGCGATCTCACGCTCCGGAACAACTACCAGCGGCGAAGATTTCAGCGACAACTATACCAACCCAGTGACCCAGTACCAAGAACAAATCAAGTCGAGGTACGTGCAGATGACCTGTGCACATCTATCCACGTGGCGTCGATGTCGAATCGTTGAGCTGGGTGGCCTGATGATGGCGCGCATTAGACTAACCGAGCACCTCTACCGCTGTTCCGGCAAAGCGTTGGTCGTGTTCGACGAAGTGCAAAAGGTGATTCCGCATACTCTGGACGGTACGCACACGCCGCGCGGCCGCGTTGTTGTCGAGCTATGCGGCTTGCCCATCCTGACGTGTTTGCAGTGCTGACAACCGCCATGAGCTCGAACGCCCATTTGATGTACTACCGCAACGGCGGCGAGCGCCGCGTCGACACGTCCAACGTGATCTTTGTTCTCATTTCGGACATTGGTGTTGCCAAGATGGAGCAGCTTTTGATCCAGTACAAACACCGCCGCGACGTGCCCGTCACCAAGCTCGAGAACGACGTGCGGCGCGCGCTGGACGCGCAGTGGGCGCGGCTCCAGTTTGGCAAGATGGTGCGGCAAGTCGTTCCGTTTCTCCCGTTCGAGCCGCACCACATCGTGCAAGTGATCCAGGCCAAGCTCGACCAACTGAGCCGCCACTACGAAGGCGTGTACTGGAAGTCGCTCGCGTTCGACTCGGGTTTGGCCGCGCACCTGTCGACGCTCGAATCGATGCTGTACATGGAGCGGCGCGCGATCGTGCACGACGTCGAAGTCCGCAAAGTGTTTGCCAAGTATGGCGCACGGAATGTCGAGAGCGGCCCGATGCAGCAGCTCAAGGCCAAGTTGATGCGCCATGCGCGGCCATGGAACCCAGGTGCGTGAAGGTGCGGCATCGGTGGCGCGACTGATGGCGCGGTCGTTGCAGAGGCACAGTTTACCGTGCGCCTGCTGGCCGACAGCCGCACCATCGACATTGTGTCGTGCGTGGAAGAGAGAACGACGGGCCAGCTTCCCGATACGACGACGATGGGCGACGGGAGCGCGGCCGACGTTATCACCCTCGCATGCGTGTCGAGGTGGCAAGGTGTATTCACATAATGATGCGACGAGCGGCGCCAGTCGTCGATTGTGCAAATACGATATCGTGTCGTGGTGGGTTTTGTTTGTGGATCGAGCGCGACGTCGGATGCAGGGTCGCGCTGTGGCCGCGATGGACAGGTGTCGAGATGGCGAGTGCCATCAAACAGTCGTCGCCCGTGCACTGGGGCAGTCGTGGTGTCGGAGTATGACCAGGTCGGGAGGTGGTGTGTGTTGCCAACAACGTCCTTGGCGGCGTCGTGGGCCATCCGCGTCGCGGAGAGCACCGTTGGGAGCGCGGCTTGCTCCGGGTAGAACCAAGGCGGAGGGTCCACCGCGCGCTGCCGTCGGCGATCGCCCACTGCATCACGAAGCACGTCGCAACGTGGGTGGCATGTTCCTCGAGTGTGCCGACACATAATACAGTTGGCAGTTACACATATTGTAACTGCCAACGCCGGCAGCTTTTTGGCATGGCGGCCGACTGGGAAGCGATCGTGGACGAGAGCGGAGTCCCGTACTATTACAACCCGATCACGGGCGAGACGGCGTGGTCGATCCCGGCCGACGATGGCGCTGTAGACGAATGGCCACCCGTCGCCGCCAGGACGGACGTTGAGGTCGCGACGCACAGCCGCCCTGCGACGGCTTCATGCGGAGGTGGCGAGTGGGCGTTTGGGGGCGTCAACCCCGACGATGGAGCGTTCTTTTTCGTGCACACGGCGACGGGAGAACGTGTGGCGAACCTTCCCATGTCGCTGGCGGAAGCGCCAACGACGCCATCCACCGCCCACGAGGACGGCGCGTTTTCTGTCGACGTGGACCCTGCCGTGTTGGTGTGCATGGAGGACGTGGTCCAAGCGATCGAGACAACGTTAGCAGTGTGGATGCGCCGGCGCCAACGCAACGCGAAAGCCCTCGCCAAGCAAAGGCAGCGAGGAAATGTGGCCACCACGCATGGAACGACCGTCGACGCCACGCGCGAGGTCCACGGGCGCCAGCCGCGTGCGGCAGTCCGGATGCACCACGTTCTTGCCAACGCCAAGCGGTACGAATGCACGGCCGAGTACGAGTCGCGCCGCGCCGCGATGGCCGCGCAGGTCCGGGAGGACGAGGTCGAGAAGGAAACTGTTCGGGTCAAAGAGCGATTCGCCCAACGGAGACAGCACCAGGTGAAGCAAGCTGCAGCGTGGCGGCGCGCCAACATAGCAAGACCAGATTCAATTGCGACACCACATCACGCGAGTCTTGATCGCTAAAGCCACGAATGGCCTGGACATCCATGGTACGGCACGGACTTCGGTCGTTTGCGAGACCGAATTCCATACGTGGGTGGTTTCGCCGTTCACGGCTCTCGATCTAGGCAAGATCGACTTGACCAGCGGCGACGATCGACGGCCGCCTGGACAACCTCTCCAGCGAGAAGAACTGTTCGAGTCGGAGGAGCGGGCGGCGGTCGCCAGACAGCGCAAGCGGCAGCTCGAGCATCTCTTTGTCGCGATCGACACGGATAAACGCGGCACGATGTCGACGCTGCATGTGCTGCACGAGCTCGCCATCCAGCCGTAGGTCGCCCCCCGCCGGTGGAATCCATCACGATCGAGCAATCGTAGGCACGTCGTCCAGCGGTGGGTCCAGCCGCCGCGCCGAGGCGTCCAGGACATGTTGCTAACTGGCGTGCTTCAAGCGTTTTTCCTGCAGCTGCAACGAGTCAATGTGCGGCAATTTGTCGATTTTGTTGAGATCTCGGAAGATGTCGTGGCCCGCGTCGACCGCATCAAAGCCGCAATGGAGCAAGCGGGCCTCGGTGTCGTCAGCGCCGACGTTGCAACGTGGCAGAGCAGCATGTTGAACGTGAAGTCGGGCGAGTCGGCGGCAAACCGACAGGTCGTCTTTGTCCGTCGAATGCAGCTCGCGTTTCAAGCCGCCAAGGTGCTCTGGACGTCGAAGCATCCATCTCGTGCACTGATCGAGCTCCCCACGGCGTAGGAAGCGTGCATTGCCCAACTGCGCCACGTCCTGCATTTCCGACATCCGGGATCCGTGGCGCCGCCGTCGGAATGCCCCGCGCGGAAGGATTCCACCACGACGGCGCCACCGATCTGGCAACTCGCCCACAAACATGTCTACCTCCAGCTCACGCCATACCTGCCGCCGTACTGCGTGCACTGCCGACGGTGTCGCACCCGGCTCGACAAACTCGAGCGCTTTGAAGCCGAAGAATCCCATCGGTACGTGTCGAAATGGGGGTGTCGGTGTGGTTGATGGGCGCTCCACCAGGGCGAAGTGGGGCCGGTACCTGGCTAGACGAATGCACGACATTGAAATGTCCATGCGACAGTGGCCGACGCAGGCCACCGACGACGAAGCCGGTGCGGCCAACGCATATGCCTTTGATCGTTCACGTCGACCTGTGTGGTGTTAGATTTAGCCAGCATAACGCCCGAGCTCGCTGGTGCACGTATCCAAGGTGCTGGATCGGCGCGCCGAACGTCCACAAGGAGTCGGGATGACGAGGCGGTGGCAGTGACACTCCATGCTATCGTCACAGGTGCGGCTCTCTTGGCGACGTACAATGCATGGGAAGCGCGGGTGCTCGCGCCGCCTCCCCACACCACGAACACACGAAACCAGCCGCCAGAAACAACGCCAGAAACGGCCTTGGCACCGCCAGCAACGTCGGTGTCCAAACATAGTACTCACGACTTGCTGAACAAACTTACAAAGCGGCGCGAAGAAGTCGAGCGTGAAGAAATGGCGCGGGCGATGATGTTTGACGAGGACGAGCTCATTCGCGAGGTGCCTTCCACTCAGTGCTAGCAGCTTTACGAAGCTGTGATGCAGGGATTGGAGAGTGCCAAGATGACGATGGAGCTCCCACTGATCCTCGAGCAAGAAGCGGCCCACCGCGAGTTTGTGCGGCTCGTGCAGGCGTGTGTCAACCCGTCCATGGTCCTGAAACGACTCAACTTTGAGCGGGTGCTCGCGATTCGTTCCCCGACCGATAACATGGTGCTCCGCGTCGTGGACAGCGCGACCAACACGCACTGCGTCGTCCACACCATTCGATGCGCGTCCGTCGACGAGGCGGACCATGTCGTGCTGGTGGCAAGGCAGTTGCAGCACCACCGCCCGCCGCACACGTTGCACGTGCTGCACGTGTTTCAGTACACGTACCAGCAGTTTGCTAACAACGGCAACCTGAATGAGTGCTGGCCCATCGTATTCGTCGTGACAGAAGATTGCATGGAGGGTGGGCACTGGCTGCCGCCGTCGCCGCGGCCCCCGCTTCCGACCGCCGACGTGCTCCACATTTTGCATGCGGTGATGTAACGGTCTGGGAATGACGGTAGTCTGAATGTTTGTCCCTAGGTCAGCGCGGCGCTGGCGGCGCTGCACAGCCAGTCCATTTGTCACTGGAATCTGAACGCGAGAAACCTGTACCGGAGCAGCGACGTCACCCGCGGAGGAGATGCTCGGGATCGGCGCCAGCAGCTACGACTCGGCGGGTTCCTCGTGTTTAAGCAGCCATTTCGCCACGACGACGTGTCCAAGGGTCCGTTGCACCCGTCGCTGGCACCGCCAGAGGTGTCGACAGCGCGCAACGGAGCTGCCGTGCTCAACGAGAAGACGGACATGTGGATGCTAGGGTGTCTGCTGTACTCGCTCCTGACGGGTGTGCATTGGAAGGTCGATATCGGGCGATCAACGTGTCGAGTTGTAGGATCCGACGTCGTCGTTCGGGAGAAAGACCTTTCAACCATCATGACAGACATCCCGTTGCGGTATGGCCCAAGTCTTCGTTCGTGCTTGCGGATGCTCTTGCAGCCCCAGCCGCAGCATCGGCCGACCGCGATGGAAATGTTCAATTTCATCTCGTGCGCCTCGCCAGACGAAGGCGCGACCGCCGATCCCAACGCCCATCCGCCATTGACCATCAAGAAGTCTGCTCCTTCCTTGGACCCCCTGCCGCCTCGATGACAGAGCTACCGCTCACGCGAGATCACCACCTTGTCGACAGCCGATGACGCCAACTGCCATGGTGGTTCTCGTGGGAGGAGATGGGATTTACTCGGCTGGGAAATTGGAAAATTCACCGTATTTTTGCAAAATATTGGAACAGGTCACTGGGATTTTGGGCAAAACACAAGTTTCAACCGTGTGACGCATGCCGCCAGCCATTCGAGTTTGATGAGGTAAGAATAAAATTCAACAATTTCGAGTCGATTTTGCTTCATGATAAACATGTCGAAATGTACCGTGCAATGCATGCAAGCCCACGGACAACGAGCGTCGACGATAGATAGAAATTCAAATGTATGCATTTTATACTCTTATCACGAAGAAAGTACATTAGCGGAGCGCCCGCATGGACGTGTGCTACATTTTTGAAAACCCCCCAGAAGACGGACGGAGCGTTGCATGGGCGGCGGCGGCGGTGAGATCGAGTCGTATGTGCAAGACTTCATGGTGATCCAGCATGACCCGTTGGAAGAAGAGCGGAACCTGCAGAGACAGACGGAGCGGCTCTTGGACCGTTGGCACGGCCTCGTGCTCAAGGGGCCTGAAAACGCTGTCGATTTGAATTCCGTCGAAGCGCGCATCCAACGCAACATCGATCGCCATGAAAAGATGCTCGCGTGGCTCGGGTCCATGGAACGCAACTTGTATGAAGACACTATCGCGTACGAAGATGCATGCGCGATGACGTCGTGTGGAGAGCAAGACGACGAGCTTCGGTCGTACCCCAACGTCGTCGACGAAAGCGAACGTATATTGAACCAGATTGACGCATTGCTGATGGACCGACAAGAATGGGATCTGTCGTCGGCGCTCTCGTCGTTGGACATGCCATCCGCAGCCACCACTCCAACGACAGCTCAAATCCCTCTCTACACGGCGTAGGTCCTCCTCGCGCATCCATGTCGTCGTAGTCTCCATCGTATATTTATACCGCGTGAACTGCTTGGTTCTTCATCTTCATGGGCGCAATCAGCCCACGCCGTCGTCGACTTGATTGCATATGGGATTGCAATGGGAGGCTGCCCACCCCATCCACGTACAGTATGTAGCTGTGGTCGATCGAAAAGGTGATCGCAGCCGCGACTTGTGCGTGTGTCGGCGGGGATGGACGCCTCAACGAGGAGCTGGCGCGTGCACGACGACCCGTGGCTCTTCGTACCTTCGTCGATACCCGTCAACCTTTCCTTGGTCGGCACCGTTGGCCGCCAGGTCGCGCCGTTGGGGCGGGGATTCGCCGTGTTTATGCGAGACCGGCGGATTCATGCCCCTTTTACGCATTTTTTGATTTTGAACAAATTTTTTTGATTGGCTGAATGTTCTCGGGAAATTATTTGATTGGTTCTTTGGAATCCGTCGATTGGATTGGGTGTAATTTTAGCTCGCGGTGTGCCTTTTTGAAACCGCTCGGGCCGTCGAGAGGTTTCCAAACTGCCAGTCCCGCGCTAACTCGCCACGAACCGAGGCGACCGCAACGATGGACAGCATCTTCGCAGCGGCGCGATCGAACGATCTGCCTGCCGTTCAGCGCATGCTGGAAGTGCGTTGCATCGTTGTCCATCCCGACCCACTCGTCACCATGTGGTGGTGGTGTGCGTAGGAATTGTCTGGCAACGGCGACGACAACTCGGTCGCGTTCGACGTAAACAGGCTCGTGGAAAGTACTACCCACAACACTCTCATGCACATTGCGTGCTCCAACGGGAACCTGAACGCGTGCAAGTACCTGTCCATGCATGGCATGTACTTGAACGAGCCCAACAAGCGCGTACGCACCCCGACGCGATCTCGCGCGCTTCCTCACGACCGCATTAGGGCCATACGCCACTGTTTTATGCAGCAGACTGCGGCAATCTCTCGCTAGTCAAGTGGATGGTCTCGAACGGCGCCGACATTGACACGGACTACAGTCGCAAAGCCACGACAAACGACGACGATCGGCGGTACGACCTCGCATTCACACCGCTTCAAGTCGCGTGCGTCAAGGGCCACCACGACATTGTCGACTTTCTCGTCGAATGCAACGCCGATTTAGGGGGAAGCGCGCTGTACGGTGTCACCGCGCTGCACTTTGCCTGCCACCAGGTCTTTTGTCGTTGTCGATCGTGCTTTGTGTTGCATGCGTAGAGTCGTCCACCCACCGCTCAAAAACGTGACGCTTGTGTCGTTGGTCGTAGAGCCAAAAGGACATTGCCAAGGTTCTTCTGGACGCCGGCGCGGACATGCATGCAGCTGACGCAGCCGGGGCGTCTGCGATGGACATTGCGTCGGGCGACACGCTGGCGTTCTTGACCGCGTACGACGCGAACGGCGGCGGCGGCGCCAGCACTGGCGACGAAGACGACGGTCCTCGATCTCCGTTTGACCAAGACAGACGACGACCATCGACGACCGCGATCGACGGACCGGACATGGCCAGGCTTGTCCCTGACTGCATTGGCAAGGCGTTTGGGGCAGATGTCGCGCGATCGCTGGCAAGCCACGAATGGAAGGCACGGCAGCAAGCGGTGACAGAAGTCGGCCTCGTTATGGCGCAGCACGCTGGCGCAGCACGACTGTTTGACGCGGCGTGCCACGTGGTCGTCGTCGCGATCAAGGACTCGGTCGGTCAAGTGTGTGCCGCCGCGATGCCGCTCGTCAAAGCCGCGTTCAACTCGGTCCTGTCCAGCAGCACGTTCCACACCCCAGGATATCACACAAGCCACCCGTTGATCGGGACGATCTTGGATGCGCTGCTGGCACGGGCGGCGGGCTCTCACGAGCGGGACGCGAGCGATGCGGTGACGTCGCTCCTCTTCTTGGCGTGTAAAAGCGCGCACGCCACGCAGCACATGGTGCGGACGATGCAGGGCCAGCTTGGCGGTCCTTCAACGTCGAGCGCCATGACGGCGGGAGGATGGCGTCAGCAACTCGTCAACATTCGACTGCTGACGGCGATTGCGAGTCAGTATCGATTCGCGGCCGAGAGCGGGCTCTCGTTTGCTGACGCGATGGCCGTGAGCTCTCAAGCTCTGGACCATTCCAGCGTGAAAGTGCGGTCGGCGGCCGTGGATCTAGTCGTCCAAGCCATTGTCGTCGCCAGCGAGCAATCGGGTACACACGATCGACTGTTTGTTTTGAACGACTTGACCATCGCGTGTGGCGCAGGTCTGCCAGGCACTGCCGCCGACGGTGTGGCGGATCAAGTGGTCCAGTATGCCGACTCGCTTGTGCACCAGTATTTGGGCAGCCATGTCAAGGCAAGCGTCGGGGCGAACATCCACAAGAGTCTCCGCGCTGCGTTGGGCAATTCGAAGCGGCTGAGCCGAGGCGCCATCACGCCAGGCAAAGCGTCCGAGGTGCACGAGCCACTGGTCCACGCCAAGCCACGAAACCCACCTGAGGCCGACGACTGGTCGGATGCAGACTTGCCATACGCTGAGCCTGTGCAAGGTAGTAGGTGCAGCCAGCTCGGACGCGCTAACAACGATGCAGAACAATGCAAAGCCCAGGCGGACGGAATTTCGGCGGCGTTTGGAGACAAAGTAGCGCGGTGTTTGTTTTCAAATGCGTGGGCACCGCGGGTCGAAGGGCTCAGCTACCTCCAGAAACTCCTCCAAGCCAAGCGGTGCGACATGTCGGCGGCCACGATTGCCGCGTTTGACACGGTGCTGCAAGCCGCGGTCAGCGATCGCGTTAACGCTGTGGTGCGGTTTTGAGCGCAAGCGCGACCGGTTCGTCACCCATGATGCGCGTAGTACGAAGCAGGGCTGTCGTTGCTCATGGAGTTTGTGCTTGCGTACGGCGGGTCGGCCGCCAGCAACTCGGTCAAGCCACTCCAAGACTGCCTTCGACCGGTCGTCTCGCGCCTTGTCCTCAAGTAAGCTGTTTGTTACCCGTGGCAAGCGCCGACGAGCTGTAGACTGGGCGACTCCAAGCAACGGCTCCAGGTCGTCAGCGAAGACGCGCTGTTGTTCATGGCGCGGCAGCCGTTAGTTGGACCGGCGTTTGTCTTGGACGCCATGCCGTCCGTGCCAGCGCCATCGTCGTCGTTGCTGGCAAACAAACTCAACGTGGTCGGCAAGTTGCTCCTCGAGTTTGGTGTGCACGAATGCGGCGGCGGCGGCGTGCTCGGTCTCAAGCATGCGCTCCAGCCCGCGCTCGCGGCATGCGAGCACAAAGACGCTGCCGTGCGCCAAGCGTCGATCCAGATCTTCTCGGAAGCGTTTAAAGGCACTGCCGCCGACGGTGTGGCAGATCAAGTGGTCGAGTATGCCGACTCGCTTGTGCATCAGTACTTGGGCAGCCATGTCAAGGCAAGCATCG